TCTTATGCAAATGATGATGTTGGGGATTTTTAACATGCTTTCATATCAAAGAAGAAACAGCTGCAGCTGCAGGTAAATACAAGATGCACAAAAGTTACTTGTTTGCTTATCATGTCAGTCTGCAAAGAGTCAAGAAGCAGACACTGTAGTGTAAGACATGTTTCTGAGATCTGAAAGCAGCTTACCCAAGATACTTTTTTGTATTACTTCACTGTCTCAGAAGTTTCTCTTCTTTCACACACATTTTGTGTTTTGTAGAATTTTAGGTTTGTTTTTATTTTATTGCATTCACATTTACTCCACAATAGAATAGAACTCGCGATAGTAACGTCATCACCGACGCGGCCGCCCCGTTGGTGGCCTATACGAGTCCTTGCTTGTTGCTTGCTACTACTGACAACAGCACGCTCAGTCTCGTTCTTGTGGCTTTAATTAATCTAGTATTCATTTGATTGGTTACATTACACAACCATGGTAAACCGTTGCTGTGATGTGGGGTGCAACATGTTATTGCCAGGGAAAATGGTGGAAAATGGGCAAATTTTTCACCATTTTCCTGCTAGGAGGCACATTCGGGAGACCAAGTATTTAACATAACAAAGTCTCATCGACTCACTTTGATCATACTGTAGCTGTAAGACGACCAAACATCTCCTTTTGCAGTTTTTCATTCTGGTAAGTTAGAGATGGTGTACGTTTACATGGATTCTTTCCTGCAACGGCGACAAGCACACCCAACACACACAGGCTACACACGCTGGCAAGCTAATGCGGGCATATTGACACAGCACAACTTCTCCTGCTACACTTCTATGAGATGACAATTTGTATTGTTTTACTAGAAAAACCAGCAAATGAAACGTGTACCTCTCAACCAGACATGTACATCTGCTCACACCATAAACAAGAAAGCAGAAAATGTCCATTATGCAGAGTTGCAGCAGTAACAAGTTGTTGGTGCTCCAGTTTTGGGTCTTTCATAGCACCCAAACCATTTATAATGCTGATTTTGTCCTCATACCGGTCACCGATGTCTTTATTGTATTCCTGTATATTCTGCATCCTTTTTGGGATTTTAACATGTTGTTTAACACCATCTTTCACCCAAATCTGCTTCTTCTCTGCGACATACTGTTTGTTTTCACGGGTTGCTTTTACGGTTTGTTTATACACGTAAGGCTGCCAATATGTCTGCGCATGTCCCAAAATGCTATGCGTAATCATGTGTGATCACAAGCCCTATAGAATAGAATAGAAACATCCTTTATTTATGGAGAAATTTGTGTGCAAAAATAATAATAAAATCTAATATAATCTGTATTGCTTTTTATTTTACATTTATTGGTTGTTTACTTTACTGTATTGTACTTTGGATTGTAACTGTGCATTACAAATAAATTTTGATGGTTGTTTGAAGCATAAACATCAAAACATAGACCCCCCATTGGGCGCTGGAGAGCGTGACAGTGTTGCCGCCATATTGGATGGGTCTCCTCACTCTCCAAAATCAATGCAGAGTGAGCCCTACACAACTGGGGCCTCATTTATCAAGCTTGCTTACGCACAAAAGGGGGTCGGAAAACTGCGTAAGCAACTTTCCACGCAAACTTTGGGATTTGTGAAAGAAACTTATCGGAAAAATGTGCGCAACTTTAAGTTACCTAAGGACCTGGCTTACACACATTTTGGACATGGAGAGCACCTGCAGTGCTGCTGAGAAGGATAAAATTATGAAAGCCTGCAGCATTATCACTTGTACTGCTTCGTTTTCACACAGAACAAGACCCCCCACACGCACATACACACACATGCGCGCACACTCACACACGTGCGCGTGCACACACACACACACACACACACAAACAGCCTGAAGTGATGGACAGATGGACAGATTGAGACAGAATGTCATGCACCTGTGACAGTGTGACAGATTGATCATCCGCCCTGGCTACTTGTACAGGGGACAGGGGCGGATTTAGCAATTTGGGGGCCCAAGGCGAACACACAGGGGCCCCTTACACTAAATTTTCGACAATCTTACCTTTAATTGGATGTGCGAAACTCTCCCCTCTTCTGACATGAGTTATTTTCACTTTTTATTAGTCCTCCTCTTTTTTCCTGTTTTTCTCTCCCTTTGAGTGCCTTCAATATTTGCTCTGCTTTCTTCTTCCTTTCAGTGCTCCTGTGCTTAACCTTAGTTTTTTTTTCTATTTTCCATTTTGGTCCATGTTTTCCTCCCTTGAAACATTTTCCATTGTCTTTCCTTTTCTGCTTCCTTTTGATGTTTACATCGAAAAACGACGTCACTTTCAGAAGTGAAAATAAAAGCTTTTATTAAGCAAGCTGCTTCTTTCTCTTATTGGAGCCACTAGGATAACTCAATTTCATGCTAAATGTTTTGACTATCGCTTTGAGTTTGTTACGAATGCCCCTGCCTCTCTTATTATTATTATTATTTGTGGTCTTATGGAACTTGGCAAACAACAATTTGGTGCATTACCGCCACCAACTGGATTGGAGTGGAATGACTACCAATCACTTCCTGTTTGTGCATCGCCGTCTTAATAACCCTCTTATGACCATAATTATAACAGGGCCGCCTGGTTTGTTTTTAATCTTATGGCTGTAAAATTGTAATAAAAAGTGCAAAGTGTGTGTAACTCTTCTTTTTTCAGAAAAACCTCAGCTTTTAGTGTATGGTTTGTATTTAGAATTTATTTCTATTAAAGCCTTTAAAAATCAGCTAAAAAGTGAAAAAAGCAAAAAACGCATTAGAATTTTTTACATTTATTACTGAACAGGAACTTCAAAATTACTGGGCAAACAATTTAAACTTTGAACTGTAATGCATTTAATCCTAAAAAAGTGTGAACTTTGGTATCTTTTTTAGCTGTTTTTAAGACCATTTATTTTTGTAAACTTTCAGATGTTTTTATTTGATGTGGTAGACCTTGAAGCAGTTTCTCTCCAGCTGCAGGCAGAGTCCCACTCTGCACACCTCACACTGCCATGGGGTGCTTCTCTGGCACACCGTGCACTGCTATACCAAAAACTTTTGTTTTAGCAAAAATAATTATTTATGGTGAAAAGATAAATAATGCTGGAATGAAGCTGAATCTTACAATTAGCAAATAGTTGAGGGTTGTTCAAATAAAAAAATAAAATATAAAGACGGAACAAACATTCATACCCTGGTTCACCGGAGATCTGTCCTTCTTTGTGGTCACTGTCTTCAGATATAAGCCTTCTGGGACACCTAATAGATCGTGTTGATTTTCTTTGAGGCATTTCCATAATTTCATGCTGGTTTTTATGCTAATTAGCTTCCCTGTTCCGTTATCCGCTTTCACCACGGCGCTGAGCTCCGTTTCAATCAGGCTGTACAGCAGGATTTCCCCTCGTAGCGATATTTTCCCTAACTCTGATTGCTTCATGCTATAGATCGTTGGAAAGCTGCTTTTATGTACTTTTAGGAACCGTTAGAATTATTTGAATCTGGTCAGCCATTCAAAAGTTATAAAACAGAGCATTTTGGATGACAAACTCAGCACGTCTCTGAATCTGTGTTGTGATTCGTTGCACTCAAGACAGAGCACCCCAGTGGCTACTGTAATGTATTGTATATGCACGAAAAGCCCCATTTTTAATCTTTTCAGCACTTTTGGAATTTTAATTATATCTTGAATGGTTCAGGAATTATGGTAATGAGAAGTGCGCATGTCCAATCCCGTCTGCGGCCACAGGTTGGTAATAAGAATATTGTGCATTAACAGAGAGGTGCCGGCGGTCAGGGCTAGGGGGCCTCCCAACACAAGGGGGCCCCAGGCAGCCGCCTACCTATGCCTAATGGTAAAACCGCCTCTGACAGGGGAGATCTCTGTTTGGTTGACTGGTTAGCGTGCGTGAATTTACCCTGGGAGTCTGGAGATCAAATCCCGATTGGATCATCTTTTTTTGAATTTGTCACAGATCTCTCTGAAGAATTCACAACATTGATTGCTTCAGGAATGCTGTGCCACTCTGTGGATTTTCTCTTATTTGTTTTGCAAAAGCACTTCCTTTCATTTCTCCACCTCACCCATAGGTACCTCAATTTCTGCTTCTGTGAAATAGCGCTTCCTTGATCTACAATCGCCATGTCATTGGCGGAGTGCTGCAACAGCCGGCTTATGTATATGCATGAGATCCACAAGGCACTTTGCATTGACTATTTATGGCAGTAAGTGGGCGTGGTGAGGGCAGGATGTGATTAAAATGCAGCTGAGAAACATTCTCGTTAGTTTCTGATTTATGAAGCGGAGAACGTGCAGCTGTGCGTACTCCATGTTTGATAGATCACAAACCTTCTTGGCGTGAGTACAATTTTTTTTTTGCTGAGCTTAAGTACGGTTTAGGTTAGCATTCTACGCAATGTTTGATAAATGAGACCCCTGGTGTACTGTTGAAAACAGATCACGTGGGATGACCAGTGACTTTTCTAGCCTACCTGATAGGATTTCATAATTTATTTTTATAAATTTTATTTTAATTATATTCACATTTTAATTTTCATGCCACACATTGTGTCTGATTTTGTGAAAAAGCTTGATAGAATGTGTTTTTTAGTTGGATTAGCACATTCCTCAGTTGAAATGAATGCACATGTAGCGAATGGAGACCCATCTAACATGGCGGCCGGCCACTATGGCAGCACCAGTCAACTGGGCATCTTGTCTGTGGTTTGAAGCGTTTGAAGCATCACTGCAAACAAAAAAATGTCCAATAGAGGGCGCAAGCCACACCCTCATGCTTTGTGTGAGAACTAGAAGTCGATTGGATAAGTAATCTCTATGGCAACGCGGTGACGTCTTCATCCCTTGCTCTAATTGGAGGAAACCCCGTGTCCCCTGTCTCTGCAGTTCCTCTGCTAAAACGTAAGACCCGCCTTCCTCCCCCGCGCTAAACAGCTATTCGTTTAAACTTTGAGCTGCTCCTGTCAATCTGCTAACCTCTTTTATTGATTGGAAGGCCTACATCTAGATGACCCCCCCCCCATTTTAGCACATTCAGTTGGATTTTTTTCTGCATCTGCTACGTTTGCTGTTTTCTTTCAACTTGGATCGATTTTGGAAGCAAATTTGGACCTTCTCAGGTGAAATATCGCTAATATTTTACTTTGTTACTGGTTTATTTATATGAAACTATTTCGCTATGGGCTTGTCCCGTAATTTGTATGTGACCACGCTAACATGACAGAAAGGAGTGGCTGATGTAGCTAGTGTTAGCTTGTTGGCGCTTTGCCTTGCATCACAAACTAGTAATGATGCTCACCCGCATCTAATAAGAGCCTAAGACATTACATGTATAAAATCATTAGACATCGTGCGGTGTGTATGATGAAAGTAGGAAAAAAAAACACAAATGGTGTGTTGTAGCTCACCTATTTAAAATTATATTTTTACAGTTACTGACAACTGTCCATGTCGTGGTCGTTTATTTTTCTTAAAATGACCAGGTCACCAGCTAATACACATGATTTTCGTTGACAGCTCGCGGAGACCGACACCACCCATTCCCTACTACACCCATCTGTGAATCGAGTTGCCTTTGAGTGATTGTCATTCCTCCCAGGATTTCTTGACTTTCGGCCCTCTTCCATATACTAACTATGGATAGAACGGATCTTATCCAGAAGGCCAAGCTGGCGGAGCAGGCTGAGCGCTACGAAGACATGGCCGAAAGTATGAAGGAAGTTACAGAGATGGGAGGCGAGCTGTCAAACGAGGAGAGGAACCTGCTCTCTGTCGCCTACAAAAACGTGGTTGGGGCGAGGCGGTCCGCATGGAGGGTGATGTCCAGCATCGGGATGAAGACTGAGGGCTGCGAGAAGAAGCAGCAGATGGTCAAGGAATATCGCGAGAAGGTGGAAAAGGAGCTGGAAGAGATTTGCAACTGTGTTTTGGTAAGAGATTGATACAGCTCACCTTTACTAAAATGTTTTTCAATTATAGATTTACTGAAACCCATTCACATAAGCATGAGGTGTCACTAAAACGGGTTTCTTCAATATACAGCTATTTTTCCTTCCACATGTTAAATGGCACCTGTTTCCTGTGAGCTGTCCTCTGTTTTATAAATAAAACCTCTGAAGCAAGACAGGACAGGGAAGTACTATGTAGTCTTCCGACTGTTCCTGCCTTTTGGAAATCTGTATTTAGAACAATGGGTTTGAGAGACCTTTGGAGAACTGACAAGAGGTTGCGGTGCCAAACCAACAAGGTGTGTCAGGATGAATGAGAGTTAAAACACACACACACACACACACACACACACACACACACACACACACACACACACACACACACACACACACACACACACACACACACACACACACACACACACACACTCCCTTCACCCAGTCCCATCTGGCAGACAGAAGCTTAATGTGGTCGCCCTAGTGCAAGAATCCACATACTCTCTCATCCTAAAGCCCACTTTTATGCATTGCACCAAAGTAACAGCCTCCTACGGAGCAGCTTAATGAAACCTGTGGATTTAGATGCATTTGCAGGCTTAACTTTAATGGAACAATGAATGATGTGCTTTCACTTTTTGTTGCTTAGGTCATTACAACATACCGGATTAGAGATCCGTCTTGTTTCTTTGCCTTGTAAACTGATTTGAACAATCAGAAACATGAATACAAGTTAAAAAAAAAAAAAAAAAAAAAAAAAAACATATCCCCAGGCTACTGTTTTTGAAAAGCTGCTTAAACCATTAAACGTTCCTGCAGCTTTCATGTACCTGAGAATGTGCGGTGACTCAGCCTTCAGTATGGGTGCCAATGCGTGCTGTTGTGTGTCTGTGAAGAGAGGGTGTGTTGATTATCAAGCCTTCGCTTGTCTTCAGATACCTGACGAGTCTTCTTGCACTTGCTCAGAGAAAAGTCTGTAGCTTACAAGTAAGCGGCTTGTGTTCCTGTCATCTTTGATGTTTTGCAAGATGAAGTCGGAGAAACGTTTCTCCGTTTGGGAGACAGAAGAAGCACAAAGAGGCTTCGCTTCATTTCACAGCTGACTTTATCTGCCTCTGAGATGTTTATGCCTAGTCCATATAATCTCTAATCCTCTAAAAATCTTTCACCTCAAAGGTATATTCTCCATCTTTACTCAGCATTTTCTACTTTTGTATTTTATTAAAAGAAATAACATAAAATAGGTTAAAGAGGCAACTTGTGTGCTAGGTTTTTGCAGCCCAAATAGTCTGTAGAATCTTGTTTTTGGTTTTGTAAAGCACATATCTTAATTCTATGCTAGCTTGTTCCCATTGTGACCTCTCATGAGGTCATAACGGGGCAATTTAGGGGATTTTCTTGCACATAAACGTAGCTGGTGAACATACCCGCCTGTCTTGGTTTGCTAATTGTAAAATTAGTTTCGTGATTGACAAAGGTGAACAGGAAATGGACTTGCCCGTGTTGTTTTGTTTAAAGAGATTAACTCAAACACAACTTGTGGTTTCACTGACATCTTATCCGTTGTAATCTTTTTGGCACGCCGAACAGGAAGTGACTTTCTACACACCATTTGAATTATGGAACATTATGACTATTTCAAGTGTACTATAAAGGTGTGTTGTGATGAAGTTGTGTGCAACCATTTAGGTGCCATTGGGGTTAAAAATGGACGTGTTTTCTTGGACTAAATGTTTATCGACTTATAGGGCTGAACGATTTTAGGAAAAGACTGAATTGCAATTTTTCTAGCAGAAATTGCGATTTCGGTTCGATTCACGATTTCCTGCAAACAAAAATCCAACATTAGCCTGCCAAGCCATCCTGTAGATTAAGTGAAAAGATGGTCTAGATTCTAATCTAGTACAACTAATCATTCACATTAATATTTACTATTTGATCATACAATAAAAACGGTTAAAGCTATTAATATTTTCTCCCATTATCTTTTTTTTGTACATATTTTTTTTTTGTATTTGAAGTAACTTGTACTTGTGATTTTTATCTAGAGAGGAGCTTTATAAAAACATGGTCTACTCCAAAAATGCATGGAGGAAATCTGTAGGTAGAAATAGCTTTTAAATGTATTAAATAAATAAAAAATGCACAGTTTTCCCTGCATTACCAAGGCAGGCTGGCTGCATGTTTTTCGAAGCCGTCTGATAAGTTTTTCCTCACTAAAACGTCAGTTACTTGAGAGACACACGCATTCTGACACCTTCGCTTGTTTGAACTAACGCGTGCCATCAGAAACATTCAAACCATTTTTAAAAGAGAAGTTGAGCTTTCAAGTCAACTAAAGTGCGCGACTCCGCACTCGCGCTGATGAAGCATGAACCAAGCTTTAGAAGTCAGCCTGAACCTGCTCTGATGTGGGAGGAGTCGCTCTCTCCCTTACTCAACTACGTTCTCTCTCTCTCTCTGTGTCCCGGTGTTGGTACAGGATCTGCTCGGGTGCAAGATCGGCTCGTGGTCCTTCGACTGCCGATGACGTCAAAGTACGGCAAACCCACTCGGACAAAATACACTACACATCTTTATACTGTTGGAAAGAATTTAGCAGTTTCGTTATTAAAATAATGTTTCTTAAGACGTAAGTTTGTGTTTATAATGGTATTTGTAAAATAAAACACTATATTTTATTCATAATGTTGAACTCCTCTTTGAGCACACCCCTTGAAGGATCATAGGTATTAGCAACACCTGTGAAATAGAATTTGCAGGAAAGAAGTGTGTCCCGTTTATTGAAGTAGAGTTTTTGACGTCTTGTCCATGTGTAGTTCAGTTACGCTCATAGCTGCTAGCCAAAACTCTGGAGTTAAAAGTTTTCTGGCTTTACTAAAATATCTGTCTGTACTTATTTGATTGATGGTAGTTTTACTTTCTATTAGACTCCAAATGTAGTCATTTGGCACGTTTCAAATTCATAATTTGTAAGAATGTAATCAGTGATTTTAGCATTAGCATTCCTATGTTTTTTTTCCATGTATATTAGCATTGTGCTAACCACTCGCTGCCAAATTGCAGCCTTTGCGATTAGAAAATCTCCTTTTGTCACATCGCAATTTAATTGCACATACAATTAATCGTTCAGCCCTAATATACATGCAGCTCTATGCTAAAAGTGTATTTTCAAAGAGGTAATGATGGATTTCTTTGTAAAATTTGTCCATCTTTCCAACAGAAAGATTTGCCTGGACGTCATAACAATGTAACGTGATAACGTAACTTCCGTAAGGTTCATGTTCACCCAATCAACTACTTTGACGTCATCGGCAGTCGAAGAACCCCGTGCCAATCTTGCACCCGAGCATATCCTGTACCGACACCGGGCTCACCTTAATATCACCTACGGTGCCATTATTACCGGCTCTAGCAGCGCTGTGTGTGGAAACATAAAACAGGGAAAATAACCTGAACATGCAGCTGTCGGCTGCGGAGTTGGGCTCGGCTCTGAAAGGTACACCACACACCCCTCCCCGGCACTGGCTGTTGCCGCCGCCATAACACGGGGAAAACCCCGGATGTAAAAAATAAAAATAAAAAAAGTTACACAACGGATCCTGGATCAGTCAAAACCGCTAAAACCACAGCTTTGACGGTTACGTGATCGTGCTGTTTGAAATCGCAATTTTGGTCCAAAAACGATAGATCGTTCAGCCCTATCGAGTTATGTAATGAAATACATTTTTGTCTTTTTACAGAAACTGTTGGAGAATCATTTAATTAAGGACTCCAAAACCGCAGAAAGCAAAGTCTTCTATCTAAAGATGAAAGGGGATTATTATAGATACCTCGCTGAAGTTGCCTCTGGAGATGACAAGACAAGTAAGAAAACCTCAGTCCTGCATTTTCATTTGAATTATAATTAAATCAAAACATTTTAGTTCCTGTTTCTACTGGAAAGTTGATTTAAAACAGTTGTGGTGCTAATTTGGATTTATAACCGTAAACGTTTGATAAGTGAAGATTGTTTTTCTGCATCTGCTCACACTTTAGGGTGATGATCAAATATTGGTGAAATTAAAAGGAATGTGTTCCGTTTGCTTAATCCCACTTCTTAGAGACCATTGAAAGCTCACAGGAAGCATACCAGTCAGCGTTCGACATCAGCACGACTGAGATGGACCCCACACATCCCATCCGTTTGGGTTTGGCTCTCAACTTCTCCGTCTTCTTCTATGAGATCCTCAACTCCCCAGAAAAAGCCTGCGAGTTGGCTAAAAAGGTTTTCGTAAACACAAAAAATAATTTGTTCCTATTTTGGTGTTCAGTATCTTAACGCTCATTGTTCTTTTCATGTTAAAGGCATTTGACGACGCAATCGCAGAGCTCGACCAGCTACATGAGGAGTCCTACAAAGACAGCACTCTCATCATGCAGCTCCTCAGAGACAATCTGACAGTAAGTGCTCGACTCTCGCATGACACAGAAACGACCGGCGGCGCAGCAACGACTTCCAACACCCGCAGAAACAAAAACGCGCTGAGGGGGAAGACTTTGTGGTGGTGAAATGGAAACAAATCCTCCTACGTTACCAGAGTTGATTTGGTGACTTGTTAAACTTTAACTCACCGCTGATGCTAACAAGGATACTTTTGATGTAAGCTAATTTAAATCTGGAGCTGCTGAGTCACTACTGGGTTGAAAATGTCTTCTAGTAAAGAAAAATGGAGGTATAAACGTAGCAAAGTTTTATTTTAAAATTTGAAGCTTCTTTCATGGTTCTAGTTTATCGTTTCAAAGTGGAAATCAAAAACTAGTTCAAATTCAGTAAAACAAAACAAAATTTTACAAAAGTAATCATATTTTTTTGGTGCTGGACTTTTAACATTTGAAACTGTTGTGTGTTTGTCTCCACAGTTATGGACATCAGACAACGCTCCTGAGGAGGGCGAGGGTGGAGACGGAGAGGCCGGAGAGACCGAGAACTAGAGCGCTCGTGTTCTTACTGTTGGAACAATCTCCCGAAACAAGGAACAAAGAAGAAAAGCTTTTCTCATTTTCTTTATTTCTTATTAACAATTCACTGAAACATTCCACCAGTTCATTCCATTGACAAAAATTATGATAAGGAACCAAAGTATTGGATTTGGACGCAAAAGAGGAACCTTCTAATCCTTCAGTTTTCCTTTCAGCATTCCCATTTGTGTAGTTTCATCTGTAGGAAAAAAGAGGAATTCCCTGTTCTATTTAGAGACATAGAAGTTGGACGCCTAAATCTCATTAAATATATAAACTAGTCGCATCTTTTTTGCAGTATGTCTACATAACTGTGTGGTACTGTTACATTTGATAAGGGTTGAAGTTCAAACAAATGCAATTAACACTGCAGGGAAACCCCAGAGCTGTAGTGCTAACTGGTTGAATATTAATCTCCTGAAGTTACGACTCTTCAAACTGGTTTGGTGGGAAATTTAGGGTCTTATCTGATAAAACACCAGGACCTTTTTGTTGGAGAGAAGCCGTAATTGTCCTGCACTTCTCTTCAGATGTTACACTGGAATGGGAATAATGCAGTTTTGTATACACTCAACAAGAGTATGATTTCCTTGTCTGTCCAGGGATCGTCACTAGATATTTGGGCCACTATTGTTTTGTAATCGATTCAGTTGTAGTCCCCATAAACCTTGTGGAACTTTTGAATCAACTTTTGATTGGTGCATCCCCTATGTCAACATGAATAAAACATTTTATAAACCAAACCAAAGCGTTCTCTCTATTTTTACTCACACTGGAGAATTATTGTGTGCATATTTTTATTAAACCTTGCTAAATGGATGGGATTAAAAACAACAGAAGACACCGCAGGAGTGATCTTAATGCTTTTAAGTATTGAAGTGTAACTGAATGCATTTCTTGTGTGATAAAAGGGTGATTTTATTTACTCTTGTATTCAGTATACATCTGGAAGGATGTGAGGGCTTATTCTGATTAGTCCACACCAACGGTGTTCAAAGGTGGGGTCTCGGGACCCCTTTCTGAGTCATGAGAAGAGCTACAGATGTCAAATTACATTTTTGATTATTTTCCTGTGACATATTTTGCTTAAATTGTTAGAAAAACAAGTAAACGTCATAAATAATTTTGAAGTTGACAACATGATAAATTGCTTATCAGCTATTTACTTCTCACGCCATCAATAGATAAGTTGGCAAGTCCCCACAGATTTCATTTTGTGTTTCCAAAGCTGAAAAGTTTTACAAACTAACATTTTATTAGACTTCTTTTTCAATTTGTATTTAAGTCTTAGAAAAAGCACATTTATGACTGTTGTACATGCTCAGTTCAGTTTTTATTTATCTAGTGTCCTTGATATCTATTATCTGAATCGTTCTGAAGACTGAGTTTGCCGTAGATGGAGGTTTAATAATTAACATTTTAACCAGCACAAAGCCTGAGGCGGTTCGTCTTTAACGTCTGACAAAAGCGGATGTTTTCCACTCTGAAGAACTTCCGGGTTGCGCCGCTAGCAGCTAGCATCCTTCGGAACAAACAACACTTGTAAACATGGCAGAGAGACGCTTCAACGCGATGAAGATGTTGTTTATTGCTTTTCTTTCTCCTTGTTGGGTAAATGGCGCTGTTAAACCAAGACTTTCTACGGAAGATATTCAGGAAGATTACCCAGAGTTAGGTAAATATCGATTTTTTTTAACCTCAGCTAACGTTAGCTTGAATTTAATCGTGAACAGTGTTCGAGAATATTAGGCATTTTAACCCTCGTGACTCTGATATTTGTCTTAGTGTTACATTTATGTCTGTTGACTGTATAATGACAGCTTTCTTCTGCTTTCCAGATACTTTAAACGGCATCCTGTCAGATTATGAAGTGTTGCCCCTGTCAGGCTTCCAGTTCCATTCTGTAAGGAAGAGGGACGTCCACACCCAGTCTCACCTGGAGCGGCTGGTGAGCTTCAGAGCCCTGCACAGGTAAACAAGCCTTATTCCCTCTCGTAGCTCATAATGTCTACCAAATGAAGAAAACATTACAGGATCTTTTTCAGGTCTTCCTTAAAAAACAAACTATACCTGCCATAAATCACTACTGACAATATACTATTTATTTATTTACTAACTAACTTATATTTCAGGAGGATAAAACCACTTGAGATGAAACATCTCGTTTACGAGTGGGTCCTCCTACCGTGGAGAAATGAAATATAAGAAGACGGAGGCAGTACACTAGAATGAAACAAAGTCAATCAAAAAACAATCAACAAATGACAACTGAGGAAATAATATTTATTATTATTATAAATAATAAATCTTGCTTTGGTAGAGCAAAAAGAATGTCAGTGTCACAGCGATTTAATGAAAGTTTCAGACCCATTCAGATTCAAGTTATAAAAGTTTTACTGGTTGAACACATTCAGTCACACCAAATGAATCACAATTTAGTCACAATGACAGAAAATATTTCCAGCTTTACTCCAGACTGCTCCTTTTGTCTGCTCATCTCACACACTGCTGTGCATAATCATTTTAGGCATATGAGCAAAACAATACTGCATTATGTAGGACAGTGTTGCAGTTGTTTCAGAAACAGGAACAGTGGTGTTTATTGTTAGAGTGCTTAAACCACAGAAGTTCGCTTCCTACTACATCTGTATACCCAGTTCATAGAGAATCACGTAAAGGTGGAGTACAGATGTAGTAGGAGGTGAACCGCTGTGGTGTAAGCACTCTAAAACTAAGGATTTTTTACTGTAAACACTTGAGAAATACAATTCAGGTAAATCTGAGTTGTTTTAATATGAGATCAATGAGATAACTTGGGTTGTCCTACCATCTTACACACCACTCCCTGTGTGTGCACTACTCAGCTGATTCTGAGCGCACCTTTTCTGAGGCTGTCTCCAAGTTTAGGTCCTCCACCACCTCCCTTACCCATGGTGTCCCACAAGGTTCTGTGCTGGGGCCTCTGCTCTTCCTCCTCCATCTGCTTCCTCTTCAGCACATCCTGAGCTCCTTCAAAGGAATCTCCTACCATCTTTATGCAGATGACATCCAACTGTACATCTCTTTTAAGCCCCATGAGATGTCTACGCTGCAGCTGTTACACACCTGCTTGGACTCTATTAAAACCTGGATGGCTGTAGGGTTGTCACGGTAACCGGTGTAGCGGTAAACCCCTGTAAAAAAAGTTGACAATAATCATAACCGTCTTGTTTTTAAAAAAAATATGATCTCTGTGGATTACCGTGGCTGCGGTGTAGGCGCGGTGACCCTTACCAGCCACCGTATCATCTGCTGAAGTTGCCGGCGGCACATGCGCACTTTGTTGTTTACAACCAAAACTTTCTTTAAGCTAAAGCTGAAATAATGGCCAAAGGACGAGACGGCAGCGCTCAGGACATTTATTATGCCTCAAAGAAGACAAAGTGGGAAGTACGGGCATTTTTTGGATATTTGAAGAATGCTGAGGGACAGTCGATAGAAGATGGCTATCCTGTTTGCAGCACGTGCAGAAAAAGTGTCTGTGAAAGGCAGCAACTCTTCAATCTCATGACACATCTGCGTGTCCATCACCCACAACTCTACAGTCAACGCAAGGCAAGCTAACGTTAGCGTTTTAGCTAAAATGCATGATCTGAGGATTTGAGTTGAGGGAGAATGCAGTGAGTCGCCATATAAAGCAGCCGCAGCGCCGCTACCTGCATATAAACCGTGTCGCGGACACCCCCATGTTGAAATGACGCTATGCATTACGGGGCTCCCAGGGGCAGATAATAGTTGGTCTCTCTCCGAGAATAATTATGAATTTAACAATGATTACTGCCTGATGACATTTTCCCACATCTGCAAAGCTCACTGGAAGGACACAAACCGAGGACAATATTTTCCTGATATAGGGTCAAGTAAGGGTAAAAAAAAGTATCTGATTAGAAGGCTACTTGAGTACTGAGTATCATCTGATCTAATATTTTTAAAATGATGACATCAAACAGACAAAAAATAAGAAGTTATAGGCAAATATTGGTATTTTAAAGACTAAAGGGGAAAAATGTAAACAAATAAACATAATTACAAAATAACACATTTTAGGCAAAATTTAGACACAAACTGAGGACAATATTTTCCTGATATACAGGGTTTATTTAGTTGTCTGAAAATGTAACACGTTAAAAAAAAATACCGAGGTAATACCGAAAACCGTGATAATTTTGGTCACAATAACCGTGAGGTTAAATTTTCACACCGTGACAACCCTAGATGGCTGGGAGCTTTCTACAGCTGAATGAAGATAAGACTGAAATCCTCATCTGTGCTCCAGACAAGCTGGTTCCCAAAGTCAGAGACTCTCTTGGTCAGCTTGCTTCTCACACCAAACCTTCTGTCAGGAATCTTGGCGTGACCTTTGACCCAGCTCTCACCCTGGATTCTCATGTCAGTTCTCTTGTTCGCTCTTCCTTCTTCCATCTCAGGAACATTGCTAAGCTGAGTCCCGTTCTGTCTCGCTCTGAACTTGAGACTGTTCTCCACACCTTCATCTCCTCACGCGTAGACTACTGTAACTCTCTTTTCACGTGTCTGAGCAGAACCTCCCTGAACCGTCTACAGGTGGTTCAGAATGCCTGTGCTCGGCTTCTGACCAAGTCCTCCAAACACACCCACATCACCCCGCTTCTCCTCCAGGTTCACTGGCTGCCAGTCAACTTCAGGCTTCATTTCAAGATCCTGGTTCTGGTCTATAGGGCCTTACATGGACAAGCACCATCTTACATTGGTGATCTTCTTAGTCCCTACACCCCCAGCAGGTCCCTGAGGTCCAGTGACCAAAGCCTACTGGTTGTGCAGCACCAGGCTAAAGGCCAAAGGTGACAGATCATTTGCTGCTGTGGCCCAAAGACTCTGGAACTCTCTCCCCCTGAGCCTGAGATCAGTGGACTCAGTGGTCTCCTTTCAAAAGCAGCTGAAGACTCTCTTGTTCAAGCTGGCTTTTGGATGACCTTCATCACCACTCTCTCTTTATTCTGCTTTCCCCACCTATTCCTCCTTCCTCAGGATCCACTGATTCCTAAGCTTCCTGTTGAATGAAACTATCACAAACGTTTCTAGTTCTGGATTCCAGTTGATCTGCAGCTATATATTTTGAGAGTTTGTATAAAGAAAGCCTTAAAGGAGGAATTTTCATACCTTTTTGTGATGTTGTGTGTATCAAAGTTCTAGTTCTAGAATGGGCTGTTTGTGTAAATCAACACTTTTTTGTTCATCTTTACCAATATAAGTAGAGACTGACCGATATGGTTTTTTTAAAGCCGGCCCGATGCCGATTTTTAAAGAATTTTGTTGCCGACATCTAAAGCCGATTATTAAGGCCGATATATATTTATATACACTTTAGCAGCACATTGATTGTGAAAGACAGCTGAACACTCACTGTGTGCAATATAAATCAAGTCAATAACCTCTTAATATTTATTGAACTTCAAATATAAAACAAACTCAAAATATTAATAACATCGGTGTGTTGGGGTCCTTTGTGTCCTTTAGTCTAGTGGTGGCTGCAGTTTGGCACACAGTTGCCTGATTTTTTTAAATTCTTTTATCGACTTTTAAAAACAATTTTGGTCGATGTAGAAAAAAAATTTAATATATCTGGTCAGCCTCTAAGGCTTATCTTTGAGCTGTACAAGTGAAAACTTTTTCGTTTGCATTTTTTAAGTACAAATAGAACTTTTTGTGTCTCTCAACGACTATAAACTTGATCATTTAGGCTCTTGTCTTTGGTTTTAACACTCCTGTCTTATATTTCTGCTGGTATCCTGTACACAGCTATTTGCACAACTCTTCTTCCTCATTTTGGTTCTGTTATCTGTGTTTAAGTTCCCCACTCAGTCTGTGATCATTGAGTCAGAGGTCAACTTGTCTTTTGGTGTCTGAGACGGCGTCATGTGCATAACGTCAAATTTGGTGAAACCTTCAGAAGAGATGGCTTCCTGAGTAATAAAAAGAAAAACATATATATCTATAGTGGTTTTATAGTAAGAAAAACTCAAACACGTTATTTTGAAAATATTTTATCAATATTTTGATCGTTCAGTGTAATGTAACTCCTGTTTAGGTAAAACAGATTTTGTGTTTTAACCTTTTCTTCTTTTTCAACTTTAGAAATTTCCAGCTCTACTTGACCACAAACACAGACCTTTTCACTGACGGCTTCAAAGCTGTGTTTGTGGATAAGAATGGGAAGCAGCAGAAATATGATGTTCAGCTTCAAAACTATTTTACTGGGCACGTTGTTGGTGAGTTGATGACGCTTTTATTTAAAAAAAACCTAGATTTTTCTGCATTTACCTTTTCTCAGGGTGATGCCTGTTTTGCGTTTTCAGGGGAGGAGAACTCACGAGTGCAGGCACACTTTGACGGAGACGAGTTTTCTGCTCATATCCTGACGGATGAAGTTGAATACAACATAGAGGTAATCATCAATCTGTTAGCTGATCATGAAAGAACCTAGAATCTGTTATTTGTTAGATATTTGACAGTTGCAGGGCCGTACGCTAACAATTTTAGCTTATAGCACTGGACATGTTTATTTGTCAGTGTAATTGCAAAAATAAAAGTTTTTTTTATTTATTTAAAGGGGCATTATGGAAGTTTGACAGCCAAAACATGTATAGAAATAAAAAAATTCTTCTTCATACATTCTCCTGCAGTGCCCTGGTCCTGTAGAAAGAGCCCTGGCATTTTTATTGTGATTGCCTGTTTCTCTGTAAAATCACAGAAAAAGAGAGCTGCTCGGGTCGAGCAGGCTGCTTCATGCCCGTTCACGCTCAGGCATCGCCCGTAGCATTTGCTATCAGTAGCTTTAGTCTTTGTTGCTGTTCCTAACGCCTAGTGACAAAGCTAGCTACATTTCTGAGGACCCTTAGCTACTTTCTGTATAACTTTCTTCTGGATATTTCCTGCAAATTAGCAACAAAATAGCCATTTTCGCTCTTTGAACGTTGTTTCAGCTATTTTCAAGTATATAAATGTTACAGATGCAACAGACATCACTGGCGCTTAGCTCACCTAGTAAAACGTCGGACTCTCGACCTGGATTCGATTCTGGGTGTGAACATAGTTTATTTAGAGTTTCTTTTTTACACTAATGGTATATTTTTTACATTAAGATGCCCAAATTTTTATTTGAGACTTGCCGAACGGCATTGCATTCACAGATAAAAAAGATGTGGGTTCAACTTTCATTTTGGAACAATTTTTCAATCAAGGGAAGGGAATGATCTGAGCATGCAGGAGGACTGACCCATCTTAAACCTTTGTTGGCTGCACTGGAGAGAATGGGACAGAACCAAATTATTTAATTAATTAGCTGCGCGTTCTCCTGTCCTCTGTTCTCCGGGCCACACACACGCACAAGGGACTGTCTCAGCTGTTATTTTCGTTAAGGAGTGTGCACGTACAGCATGCGTCCCTCGTGCACGAGCCTAATGTTGAAGCTGCCGTTACGCTTTTGGCCTGAGGGGGCAATCGTGAGCATACAAATTCAAAACTCCGTAAAGTCCCTTTAAATTAGTGTAGATTTGTTCATTACAGAGGTCTGTCCTCATCAGCATAGACATTGAATAGTAGACGCCACACCGACCGTTATTGCCTATGGGGGCCATATTTGCAGGATCTGGTTTTTATAAAGTTTATGGTTACCAGGATGTTTTAGCCACAGATATCGTATATGTAGACCCCCCGTGGACTGGTGTTGCCGTAGTGGCAGGCTGCCATCTTTTTCCCCCAGTGCGTTTATTTCTACTGAGGAATGTGTTTATGCAACTAAACACATTTTATTATACTTCTTCACAAAATCAGACCAATGGTATGGCATGATAATAAAATAAAATAAATGAAAATATATAATCCCAACAGGAAGGCTAGAAAAGTCAATTGTAATCCCACGTGATCTGTTTTCAACAGTACACCAGTTATTGGAGTTGTAGGTGGCACAAAAAAAACAGGCATTGTTGCTCGCCCTGCGTGGACTCCGGTTGGGTTTGGAGAATGAGGAATCCATCCAATATGGCGGCGACGCTGTTAAGCTCTCCAGCGCCCAATGGGGCGTCTACGTATTCATGTCTATGGTTTCAGTCATAGACATGAATACAGGCTTTATTATGGGATTGTATCAGGGCTACTAGGCCATTTGAGCTCCATCAAAGTTCTTCATGCCATATAGAAGCTTTAAAGAGCAGTTTCCATTTGTAACAAGACCTTGTTCTTGGACACCTTTAAAGTTTTTTTTTCTTTCTTTGCTCTCAACTGTTTCCACTTGGGTTTAATAAACCCTCAAATCCAGTCTGTCCCCTCTTCTGTCCAGCCCCTGTGGAGGTTTACGGATTCCCCAGTTGATGGCAGGTTGCTGGTTTATCGATCAGAAGACATTAAGAATCTGAGTCGGATTGCTTCTCCAAAAGTGTGTGGTTACATCCACGCAGACGCAGAGGATCTTCTGCCTGAGAGCTCCAGGAGCAGATGGGAAAGGCATGAGGAGGTGGACTTCAAAACCGGTGAGTTCTGCCGTTATCTAGCTAGAAATGTGGACTCTTTGCCTGTATGTACACATTTGTGCAGCAAAGTCTGTGTCCAGTTTTAATATAAAGGGGAATATAAAGCTTATCAGAGCGTTGCTGCACCGGAGCAGATCTCTCCTACTCTTCTCACTGGGTTCTGATGAGATGAGTTGAGGTGAAGGTTCACATGGAGGAAGCTTTAAAATTCATGAAGACTGCTGGAGAATGATGAGTCTGAGTCAGCGCTGGTCTCCCACGTCTTGCTGCGGAGGCCATAGCAGCGCCCTCCCACTCTTCTGACTTATGTAGAGCCAAGTGCGGCGTGTGTGATGTAATGCTAAAAATCAGGTCCGTTTTGTTTTAGTCCTTTTCTCTTCAGAAGAGGTTGTTGTGCGTTTGTTTTACGCCTCAACACAAGATGTCTGAGCATCAAAAAAAGATGTTTGTGAACATCACGGCTCAGTTGGATTAGATAACTAACAATTCTAGTTAAAATTTCCTCCAGAGATCTTATCCTACTTAATTCAGTTCATTAGTATAAATGTGTTACTGCTTAGTTCATTTTTTAATGGTTTGATTTTGAGTAAAGCTAGATTGTCTTTTGGCTCATTTTCTGACACTTTTCTAGACAGAGATCTTTAAAAGGGGTTTAAAGTGATTAAAACTACGTGGATTTTATTTATTTTTTAGTTGTTGAAAGCACTTGGAATTGTATTAATGTCCTAATAGTTGATTAATTGACTCTAATCCCCAAATAATATTCAAACCCCATGCATCACTTTGAGTAACCGAGCAGTAAAGTAGACTTTCATTCTCCAGCTATCATTGTAAACAATAAAAAAATGTTTTCTGCATTTCTGCTTAATCTCATTGGACCAGAGAAAAACTTCTATCAAACGTCAGCCGACCAATAAAAAAATATGTTTTAATAAATGTAAAAATAAGGATAACTAACATTATAATACCAGAAAATAGATTATGTGGAGTTTGACATTTTTATGCTCAGTCCTGTTCCGCTGCTATTTACAGGATTGCCGGCATGACTTCGACAGAGGTAATAAATGTTATATAAGATATTTAGACCCAACCAGTTTGGACTGCATGTTTTCCAGGTTGTGGTGGGTGACCAAATGCATTGCAAAGTGGATAGACACCAAATAATACCGATAATAAATGTTTAAATCATGTTTGATGGAGGAAAAAACAAATACTAGTACATTTAGTAGGTGCACGTTTACAATTGAGTTAGTAATATAAACACGATTTGATTAGTGACACAGACACAATTCTAATAAACGAGAAACTGTACTCAGATGTAGACAGACAATGTTCCTACTATGATCTACGGAAAGCCCCCGGCTTGCTTTGAAAGCACCCCCCCACCACCACCACCACCACACACACACATATTTAGTAATCACTTCTTACCTTTCAAGCAACAATGATGCCAACTGCGGGTCTTTTGTCCGGCATTTCGAGACTCTCAAATGTCGGACCGATGTTTATTCTCGTTCTTTGCTGTCGGCGATCAGGCTTGAGTTTTGCCATTTTTGTCGCGCTGAAATACACTCTTAGTTTCTTTGTTTTGTTTGGGGTCTGGGCTGGAGTTTCGCCGGTGCTTCTTGTTGTTGGCTGAATCCGTGCTACCAGAACCACCTCTCGCTCTGCCGCTAAGCTACAGATAGCAAACGCTACGGGCTGTCTGTGCGTGAACGTGCATGACGTCATCACGCTGCCTCTAGGAGGGACAGGGAAAGCGTGCTTGGTCGACCCAAACATGCTCTTTTTCTGTGATTTTTTTTTTTACAGGAATACAGAGGCAATCAGTAAAAGTGCCAGGGATCATTCTGCAGGACCAGGGCATTGCAGGAGAATGTATGAGGAAGAAATGTATTGGTTGTTAAACTTCCGTGTAGCCCCTTTAATCTACAGATGCACCAGTGAGAACATTTGGGCCGATATCTGATATCAATACCGATATTTGTAGTACTACATATATGTCCCTTCACTTTCGACGCTGTCTAAAAGCAACCACACCACCTACGTTGCATCTAAGCTTCAGTATAACAACAGAGGTTGACCGATATTGGTTTTTATTTTTCCGATGCTGATGGCCGATATGTACTGCAGATTTCCATGACCGATATCTAGACGTTTTCCACCTTATTTTCATGCTGAAATGTCACTAATAAAATCAGTTGACGCACAAAATTTCTTAAGCTGAATCAGATTTAGTGAGTTTAACCAACTGTTAAATCTTAGCTTTGTGCTCTGCTCAGTGTTACTGCCTGGCACCCAAGTTAATTTAGAGTATTACCCTAACCCTATGCAGATGTTATTAGTGAACATAAAAATACATTTAAATACAAATCTGCAACAGCATCGGGCTGCCCGAGGATGTGCCTGACTTTGAATCGGCTATACTAAGGACAAATATCAGCCAGTGCCGATGTATAAAAAATGTAAAAATCGGCCCAATATGTAGATAAAACCCCCTCAATCCTTTGCTGCATTTTTTTTCTCGCACATCCTTAATTTAATCTGAAAACAATCCATCTGCATCTGTTTGAAGATACATTTTTATTCTTTGTAGAACACCAACACAGAGAGAAAAGACAAGTCCACGACCACAGGAAGAACACCTGCTCCCTGCTGCTGGTTGCAGATTACCGCTTCTTCAAACACATGGGCCGCGGGCAAGAGAGCGTTACTCTCAACTACCTGGTCTGACATGATAAATGTCTATTTTCTATAAGAATTTAATAATAAAGAAACTCTCCTTTTGTTTTATTTCAACATCTTTGTTCATCTTGGATGCAGATTGAGCTGATCGATCGAGTCGATGACATTTACAGAAACACCACCTGGAATGATGAATTTAAAGGCTACGGGGTTCAGATCCAGCAGGTGTGCTGTCCTCTTCCTCCCTTTTTCTCCCAAACCTACATCTGTACAGTGCTTTAGTTTATTCAGAGTCACTCTTGGAATAAAAGGCTGAAAATAGCGAGTGTGGACAGCATTTTGAGAAGGAACTTGGGCTTTTCATTTATTTCCTTTCTAAAATGCCAAATAGCCTTTTTTGTTTTTACAGTTTATTTACTCTAAATGTCTCAAAGTTTTTACTCTAAGCTACCGCGAGAGGAAACATCTCATCACTCTTGAGCATGTATTCAAATAGCTGCTATAGGTCTGCTATTTTTAACAACCTTCCGTGTGTGATTGTTCTATAATTATCTTAATTTAGTCACACACACACACACGCACACACACACACACACCTGCTCATCCCAGAAAGTTCAGCTTTTCATTACTAACATTTCGTCATGAGTAATTCTGAGTGTGTTTTTTGTCATCAGATCATTATTAACCAGGAGCCGACGAAGCCTCCCTCCGGATCGCCTGCTGGCTGGGTCCATTATAATATGGAGGACAGTCCTGTGAAAGGAAAAGAAGTGTGGGAAGTGAAGAAACTTCTGGAGGTAGGAACACAAAGAAACTGTTCAAAGTTTGCTCTGTGAGAATCAGAGATGTTAAAAATTTAAATAAACATGCCAGCATAGAGTAATGTTAATAGGTTTTTCCCTTTATGTCTAATAGCAATTCAGCTTGGACATCTCAGACAACGCCTCCTCTGTGTGTTTGGCCCACCTGTTCACGTACCAGGATTTTGATATGGGAACGCTGGGGCTGGCCTATGTTGCCCCCTCCAGACCCCACCCCCTGGGTGGCATCTGCTCAGGACGTAAGACGCTGCCCTTCACCTGCAAACAGCCTTTTGATCAGCTGAGCATCAGAATCAGAATAGGTTTATTGCCATTATCAGTGAACAAACAATTCACAAACTAGGAACTTGCTTCGGTACTAATGTGCTACGTATAACATGAATAATAAGATTAGAAATATAATAAAATAGAATAAAATATTTAAAAAAAACTAGAATAAAACTTTCCGCGATAAAAAATGTCAGGTAATGGTAACATGGCCGATAACGTGACGTTGTGTCGAGTACAGATATGACCAACGTGCTCTACAGAGATGGCTCATAAGCATTTTGATTTTCTGAGACTATAGATTATTTACCATAACTGTGACTAATCATGCAGGAATTACTTTGCCTAAAGGGGACATATTATGCAAAAGTCACTTTTGCATCTTTCTGTGCTGCAATGTGGGGCTCTACTGCCTCTATACACATTCCAGATGTAAAAAAAAAAACATCCCTCCATTTTTTGTTAGTATTTGAGTTTAGAAATGAGTAATTAAAAAAAGTCCTGGTTTGTCATCACAAACAGGAAAATCCCTGGCAAATCCCAGATATCAGAGATTCTCAGCTTATAGTAGCCTGAGCGGTGTTTGGGTGGGCGTGACCAGCTCTTGTTTGTTTCCTTAAAGTGACAAAGCCCTGAAACTGCTCATTTTGGAAGGTCCTGAAAATGTAAAAAATTAAACAGCTGAAATGACTTCATGTGAGAGGGATTTAGAGCAGAGAATTTCATAAACATGTTTTATATCAACCATAGAAATATTAAAACTTAAGAAAAAGGGTCATAACATGTCTCCTTTTACACCAAGAGCTTCAAATAAAACCCAAAACAATTTGCTGTTTCTTTTATTTTTGTCCTGCCCTAGCTTACTACCCATCTCAGTATTCCAAGAAACCCAGTTTCCTCAACACGGGTCTGACCAGCACCAAGAACTACGGCAAAACCATACTCACAAAGGTCTGATTTGTTTTTAATCCTAACTAATCTCTGGTGTTCTGCAACATGTCATCCAGCATGTTCATATTAGCCACAACTGCCTTGATGCTAACACTATTGGTTTTTGTCTCCACAGGAAGCAGATTTGGTGACGACTCATGAGCTCGGTCATAACTTTGGAGCAGAACACGATCCCGATAACGTCGCTAACTGCGCTCCCGGTGACGACGATGGTGGGAAGTTCGTTATGTTTCCCATCGCTGTCAGCGGAGACCATTCAAACAACAAGGTACCGATCCGATTAGACACACAACCAGCCACGCTGCTTATTCATGTAGGGTTTTTCTGTTAGTAAATACAATATAAACAGTTATTCTAAATGTTAAAGAAAGCCTTTACTGCTGAGTCATGGTTGTTCTTGTGAAATGTGACGCGCCTCTTCCACGACAGCACATAGGGATGTGATTTAATCTGCCTCAAAAAAGAGTTAAACCTAGACTCAAATCCATCAGACTTTTTTCAGGCAGGAACGTTTATATCTTACCGTTTTCCTTTTAAAATCTGTCAGCGATCACATTTTCAGTGTCATCTTCAAACGCCGTCTCTGGTGCGACACCCACACAGGTCTGAACAGCTGCAGTGATATTAGCAGGCTGACGGGCACAGCGGCTGTTTTTGGCAAACGATCCGCTCTGATGAGAAAAGCGACAGACTGAAATATGTCCTCGTTTTATGAAATACGCTGGATTACACAAAATACAAAAATTGTAAGACTAGATCATTTCAGTGGGTTGGGGTTTGGGGCTCCATGTTATTAAAAGGCGGCGGCTGAGGGAGGTTGGGTAATTCTCTGGGGTGGACCTGTGATGTCTGTAAATGTGATAGTCACTGAAAATAATATTTTGATACCGAGGTGCCTTAAAACAAAGCCCCGTGGTTACATAATGTCTGGGTTTTTGAGTCACTCATCACCGGAGACACTAAAGTAATCCACTGCTGTTTGGTTTAGCTTACACTCTTTGTGACAACACACCGACAGATCCGGCTCTGAAATGGGGCGATGTGTGCTGGATAAACAAGTGGAATAATATTTAAATCAGGGTGAACTGTTAAAGCAGTGCAGTCAGCTCTAACTGTGACTGCTCAGTGCGCTTCAGCGTGTAGAAGAGGAATGTTGTCAGTTCTCACCCACTGCTGCTATGTTTTACATAACCACTGCAGTGTTGGCACTCCAGCATGAGTTGTAGAGAAAAGCTTTGAATCAGAACATTTTATGCTGCATCTCATTTAATCTGGCTCGACTCCACATTTCAGGAGGTCTTTTAGATTCAGTTCACTGCATTTTCTTATTTTGCTTTATGTGCAAAAAAAAAAAAAAAAAAGAAAAGCATTCAGATCTTGCTGATATTGTTTTAATTTATTTCCCCTTTGTCTCAAAGCGCTTCTCAGACTGCAGCAGGGCCTCGGTGGAGAAGACGCTGAGTCTCAAGGCCCCCAAGTGTTTCAAGGAAAGGAACAGTAAAGTGTGTGGGAACTCCAGGGTGGAGCAGGGGGAGGATTGTGATCCCGGGTTACTCCATCTCAACGATGACCCCTGCTGCACCGCGGACTGCAAGTTCAAAAGAAGTGCTAAGTGCTGGCAAGTCATCTGAAAGTCAGATAAAACATGTGCTTGAAAAAAAAATCTCAGAACTGTCAAATTGTTTCCACAGCGACAGGAACAGTCCCTGCTGTAAGAATTGTCAGTATGAACAAGCAGGAAAGAGGTGCCAGGAACCCATCAGTGCCACGTGCAAGGGCCAGTCTTCCTGCACAGGTGATCGCCACCTGCTGGTTAAACACAATAACTGCATTATTCACTTCATTACTGCAGCTTTTGGCACTTTGAAGTATTAAAAATCACAAATGTAAACATTTTCCTCACTCCACAGGCAACAGCAGTCAGTGTCCACCTCCTGCAAACGCTCCTGATGATACGGTGTGTGTCGACAATGGCCGCTGTCGTAACGGGGACTGTAACCCGTTCTGTGAGGCTCTGCAGAACCTGCAGTCGTGTGCTTGCAACGGTAATGCAGATCATTAAGAGACCGTAAAAAAAGCCTTTTGTTATGGTTTTAAACATTTATTTGGTGTTATGTCATATATGGATGGGTTGTGACATATCCAGTTGTGTGCTGCTGCTGTTTTTGACAGTTATCGTCTCTATGGTTAGTGAATTTGAACATTTTTTATTTGGATCTTCTTATTTCCTGTTCTTGCAGAGACAAATGACTCCTGCAAAGTTTGCTGCAGGGGAAAAGATGGCACCTGTTCTCCCTTCATCCAGACCAACAGCAGCTTTGTTTACCTTCGCAAAGGCAAACCCTGCACAGTGGGCTTCTGTGATGGAAACGTGAGTCTGAGCATTTTTATTAACCTCCCACACGGACAGTAATTGAGCAGATTCTTTAGTTCCTGATGGAAATCTGTCACACTAATTCAGTTGTTCTTTGTTAAAACAGGGGAAATGCATGAAGCAGGTGCAGGATGTGATCGAGAGGTTGTGGGATTTCATTGACAAACTGGACATCAACACGTTTGGTAAGTCATGTTAGATTTGAACGCTGACACGAGATTTAAAGATCTCTAAAGACTGTATTGAATCAAACTCTTAACCTACTCAGTTTCATCATCCCTCTCTACTTTAGGCAAGTTCCTGGCTGATAACATTGTGGGCTCAGTGGTGGTGTTTTCTCTCATCTTCTGGATTCCTCTCAGTATCCTTGTCCACTGTGTGGTAGGGCAACTGCAGCTTGCGCTGGTCCTCTTTGTCCTTTTATGTCCTCTGTTCATTTATACTTAAGCAACACTAAATAAGTTTTGCCATTTTTCTGTCCCACTGGTTCAAAGCGAAATTATAACTGTTGTAAACAACCCTGGCGCTAGTGCTAACAGTGAGCCAACGCTAACACAAGCCAACTGATACTAAATAAACCAAGACGTAAGTAGATCCACACTGTAAAGGATGAGTAGTTTACATCTTACCTATGAACCATAAAATGTGAGATTCCATAGAAATATGAAATATCAATCTGATGGATCTTTGATTATTTTAACCAGAAGATCAGAACTTTTTATTGCAGGGGTTAAGTGACACTTCGTATTAACTCCAAGGGAAGAGAGAGAGTCGTGTTTAAAATAGTTAAGAAATTTATTTCTACACAATTTAAACGAGACTAACTTAAACACTCTGTGTATTGATGGACTAAGGTGGAGTGAGACGTGATGAATGATGGTGGTGTGTGTGTGTGTGTGTGTGTGTGTGTGGAATGTTATTATCAGAACCAGCGGATCCGGAGAAGCATTTAGTTCTGAGTTGGAGTGAATGTTTCACTCTAAACTTTAGTTGGAGATTTATAACACAAATGAGACGCCATCTGTCGGTCTACGTACCCCAGGGGAAGCTTCCTTTTAGATCCAGACTGCCGAGGTCCTCTTGGACCCTCCTTGGAACCGAAGCCGGTAGAAAAGTAGCGACGCTGACCAAACTAGTCTTGGAATGCTTCCAGGTCACGACAGTGATTATTGGCATCTACGAGACCCTGAAGGGTTCGTGAGGTTCAGCTTTTATTCTGAAGGAACCTTTGCGGTCAGGTGTAACTTGTAACAGATTTTATCCAGCTTCTTGAGGTTCTTTTGGCTGAAGAGGAATCCGGATGGCCTGTCCGAGACTTCTCTAGAACGCTCGAACTAAAGAAAAGGTGGCATGGAATAGTTTTTATAATTGTCATATTTGGTTTACTGGCAAATCAGAATTTGACATGCAAAAGAGGGTTCATACAAACACCACAGATAACCACGCCTCGCGTCAGAAACAAAGGTTTTGATTGGATCAGACAAAAGGAAATGTGTCATGTGACTTTAGCATTGCGTGTCATCAGTGTCGAGTGCAAATGTCCAAGATTATAATTACTTGTAAAATACTACAGATCACAAGATTATAATATCAAGTAATAACATTGTCATTTCACAGATTGATTGAACATTGGGCTCACATTATTATTGGTAATTAACAAAGTTGGTTGATTATATATTTATCAAGAGAGCTCTTCATCTTCGTCTTGAGCTGTAACAGAGGTGAAGTAGTTCAGATGAGCAGAGTGCATGAAAGACCTTGGCCAGTATCTCATGTAGATTAGCCGGTGTCAGAGACTTTTATGTCTCTGCTCGTGCAGACGCAGCAGATCATGACCTTTAGGTCAAAAACAGGACATTCATGACACTACAACACTTTTGGACAAAAAAAAAAATTACAAGTCAAGTAGCAACAAAGCTAGGTCACCAGCAGTCTGTGATTTCGAAGCCTCCTTTAGCTCCGTCAAATGAGTGTAGGCTGTGCCCATGTTCATCCTGGTTTTAGCTGTTTGCTTCACCCCCAAAGACATTACTCTCTTACTTTTACTTCCAGCTTCCATCATGATATCGCCCAAAAAAGCTAAATTCTTCTTTTTCTTTTCTTAAGCTTTTTATAACCGGTCAGCAAACTGAAAAAGCTAATTAATAGCTTTTATATTAGCTACTAATAGAGTAAAAGCTATTGCTGTAAAGCAGGTAGGAACCTTCCACTAGTGTTTCCCGACAAACCACAAAACTGTTAAGTGCAGATTCTGATCAGCAGAGGGCAACAGAGTGCTGTCCAGCGTAAACTTGGTCTAGGTTCTGCCTCAGAAATCACTGAAACCATTTTGAAAGCAATAGCTTAAAGTGTTAAAAACTCTTTATTGTTGCTTTAATGTTTTCTTTTCTCTTTGAAGGACAAACAACTTGACCAGCAGTATGAAGAGAATGCAAAGACCTTCTACTACCCTCCAAGTGTAAGTCCTGTAATCAGTCCCATGCAGCGCACTAGCCTTGCTGCCACACTAACCAGAAAACTACAACCCAACATTTGCTTTCTGAAACTCTGACATCCCTAATAAGAAAGGAAGGAAAAGGTGCATGCAATCTAAAAGGAACCTAGTAAAGTCAACCACATTGCATTTATAGTGACAAAAACGAGGTTACAAGAGTAGGAATTATAAGAATAGCAGAGTTGAGTGGGTTTTTGTTTGCCAATTCAGAATTTTTTATTAGATTTTGTTTCCCAAACTATTTTTTCCTTTTAAAACCTAGGAAACATATTTTCTTGTAATTTTTTTTTTAGAATAACTTTGTTTTATTTCCAAATTCAAGGCTGGTTATTACAGCTTTTTGTCTGATTGAAATAAAAAAAAAAACTAACACCAATATAATCTATAAATATTGCGCTTTTAGATATTGGGTTGTTGGTGGACATTTCTGGCCACTATGAATCTATTCTAATCCTAAACACTTGTTAATCCATAAAGATTGTCTTTATTTAAAAAAGCTTAAATCATCCAATTCCTGATAAATCTGGTGCTGACGAATTTGGCCACAGTCTAGAACACCCAGTAATTAGAACAGAAAAGATGTGGATTATAGGGATGTAACGATGCTCCCGAGAATCTATTTAAAATCACTGCAAACTAGTTTAATTATCCATCGTTGTAGGAAAAAGGGAAATTGATTCACAACGGCCACAAATATTGTGCAATACTGCATGCTTGCTTGTGCCAGACATCGCACCAAAGAGCTTCTAATCAGAACAGAGGCAAGTAGGGATACAATGAATCATTAATATAATTATTAATGATCTGTGATCCGTGCGGATTGGTCCGGCATGCACTTGGTCCGCGGATCGGTCACGTGGAGGGCGTAGGTGCCACCCGTTTAATCCAAAGCAGAAACGCACAACAGAGGAGGAGGAGAGGAGCTTGAAAAACCACCGGCGTCATTTAAGTCGCATGAATGGGAGCATCTTGGCTGCCCTGTAAAATACAATAATGATCCAAAATTTAACACGCACCATCAGTCTGAAGGCACAGCGCTGCACACACACACACACACACACACACACACACACACACACACACACACACACACACACACTCTCTCTCTCTCTCTGATCGTTGGAAAGGAGAGAGAGAGGTGGTGCGCAAGACGCCTTGGGCATTTATCACATAAACGTGGTAAAACCTGTAAATATTATTGGGGACAAATCTGTAAAAGAGAAATAAACAGCGCATCTGAAAGGTGAGGAGATGACAAGTGAAAGCAGGACACAGAGAGAGAGAGAGCGTGTCTGCATAAGGCAAGCCGTTTTAACAACTAATCAGCAACTAGACCCCTCTGTAATTCCTGCTTTTATAGCAAGTTGTGCAAGCTTTGCACAGAGAGCAAAGCTTTTTGTTTTTTCTGTTCTTTTTCTTACTGCTGATCCGAAAAACGACCCGATCCGTGATTGAAGACCGCGATACGATCCAAACCGTGAGATTTTCCATCAGTCGCACCACTAGAGGCAAGCATGGCTACAGCAAGCACCTTGGAGATAGTGGACGCTCCAATCAGTTTGAAGTCAACAGCGTGGCTTCTCCGTGTTTACAAATGAAAAGGGTGAACGAAATACCGACAAGACAGAAATTGTAAAAAATCAGAATCTTGAGCTTAAAATCGGGAATCAAATCGAACCGTGGCTTAAGTGAAAATTTTCATCCCTAGTGGATCACTATTCAGAGATAATTTGGGATTATATGAACCGGTTTTAGCTGCCCTGTCACTGCCGGGGCTTCTGAATGATCTGTCCATCACTCTTTACCCTGGAACTGCAGCAGATGGTGGAGGTTTGTAGTAGAGCTGCCGCCATAGGTGAGTGTGAATGCGCCACAGCCTGGTGTTGAGATAGATGTGTTGCCATTGAGCGCATGGTCAGTGGCCCCAGTTTAGGATACTCCTGCAGACACTTCCTGTTTGATGTAATCCCTGATCGGGCCGCAGACACTCGGTCTCATCTGATCAGACGTTACCTCGAGGAAGCGGGATTGTTCGGAGTATTCAAAACAGCGAGAGGGTTGAACACGTTGTCTTTGTGTAATCAAATGGAGTGTGTCAACATTTTTAAGTTTGCATCTGATGCTTTTAAAGCCACGAGCAGAGGGTGTTTTTTATTTTTTGCATTGAGCCTTTTTTTGTTTTGTACTTTTTTTTTGACTGAGGGAACATTCCTCTGCAGACCTTTCCCTTAGCTGACATTTTGACTTGTCAGTACAGAAGAAGCTCAGCTGTCCCACCAGGATTCCGGTGCTCCATAAAAAGAGCAGCAGGAAGGTTCCGCTCATGCTTGACAGCTCAAAATGTCCTCAGGCAGAAAGGTTTGCTTTACTCATTCCAACCTTCGTACTTCTGGGATGTTAAAGGGGATGAGGTCACACGAGTAAAACACGACAGGTGGTGGATGAACGTACGTCTGAAAGAAACAGAATGAAGTAAAAAAGGAATGGATCCCACCTCAGTCAGAGGCACAGCGCTCTGATGGACCTCTCTCACCTGTCGCTTTCGCTCCTCAGAGTCAAGATATGCTGAGCAACCTCGAGTCGGCGTCCGTCCGCATCGTCAAGCCTCCTCTGCCTCCCTCCTCCTCCGGCGGCCAGACCGCGCCCTCCCCCCAGTCCCCGCAGCAGCTGAGCCAGGTTCGGGCCCCTCCCGCGGCCAGCAGTACCCAGGACCCCGGCCTGAGTTACGGCGCCACCCCGGACAGCGCAGGGGGGCAGCGGATGGCCACCATCCAGGAGGACACCAGCAGCGACTCTCATCTGGGAGAGGAGGGCCTGCCGGACGCTTTCACAACCGCAGGAGCCTCCTCGTCGGCTACGAAGTCCTCCTACGAGGATCTAACCGAACAGAACCCATCGTCCAAGGAGCGGCGGCGCCTCAAGAGGCAGGAGCGCATTGACACTAAAGAGACGGAGTGCTGAGAGGAAATGGGTGGATCTTTTTTGTTATAGAAAAAAAACATGCCTCTTAATTATTTAAGAAAACACACAAACACCCAGAGACACACACCTTTTAGTTTTCATACAACAAACAGGTGTTTACATTGTGAAATGTGGATTATTGTTGAGTTATACTACTGTGAGTTCACGTTTTTGTGCCTTTTTTTAGTTTCAGGATGAATTCAGGAGGATCTTTGGATTTAAGTAAATAAGATTAGCAGTTTTAACGTAGGCTGGAGAGTTAAGCAAGTGCTCCTCAGGAGGAAAAAGGATCTAGAGCACAACAATCCTGAAGCATTCATCAGTTTTCTGAGTTTATGGATATAAACCGCGACTGTTTCGCTCCTCTTCAGCTTTGAAAATTTTGTTAACATGTGATGCGAGCCGGAAAAATCCAGACAGGAAGCGTTTCAGTGGGACGTCTTAAGATGGGACACAAGAATCGACGAATTTAGTCTTGAATCGATTTTAATTATTCACTTTTTTTTAAACATCTCTGGAGAATTTAGGTTTTGAGCTTATCTGATGCTTTTGTTTATTTTACAACACTGAGGAGTTTTAGCTTTGTTTATTGTACTAAAGATGGAAATAAAACCGTAAACTGTACACCTCAGACTTCCAGTACAAATCAGACCTGTCATCTACAGAAATACTGATGATTCCTGCACAAAACAAAAATGGTGCCTTTAGAGGAATATTTGCCCAGTTCGTGCAGAAGGAAGTCAAACGTATTCGTGAATTTGAGTTGCTCAGATATTCTGGTTTTTCTACACTAGTGCCAATGTGAGCTCTGCACAGGATTTCCTGTTTGCTGTTACCTGCTGTCATGTTTTCACTGTAAATTTGTTTTTGTAGGTCAGGGTAAAGAAGCAGATGGTGTTCATTTTTATACCAGAAGTGTATATTATTATTACCTGTAAGTGTTTGATTTTCAACGTTCTTTGCTTGTATTCATGGTGCACATCTCAGTAAAAAGGACCTTTATTGCATATTTAAACATTAACACATTATTGTAAATCAGCTGTGAGACGATCCTCTGCAGGTTGTTTAATCATTTATGTTTTAGAACAAATGCCCCCCTTCACTGGGTAGAGAGGAGGCTGCACTCGGGGCTCTTGGCATTCACATCTCCCCAGTAGGGCAGGATGAAGGGCAGGTGGGCCAGACGACTTTCCAGTAAACCCCACAGGCGCTCGGCCACAAACTGGTTTCCCCTTTCTGAGAGATGCAGCCCGTCAGACAGGTAGACGGTGTAATCCTAGAGGGATCAGGACCAAATGTTAGCTGCTATAATAGTTATAAAATTATACATTTAGGCATTTTTTTATTTTTAAAGAAGGTGAAAAACTAAAATGTGAAAAACGAAGGAAGTGCAAATGTTTTATATTTTAAATCTCAAAAGTTCTTGAACTTCTTTTTCATTTATCGACCATTTGGCTACGAAATAAAAGTCTAAAGTAAGAAGCTATGTCTCTGTTCTTACAAATGGAGGACAGGGTTAACTCACTTGTCCATCATTTTGCATGAGTGCCCAGAGATCTAGGACATCTGAACCACACTGACGGGCTGCCTGGATACAAGCCTGAGCATACTGTCCCACTACAGAGTTGTGTCGATTGAGAGGACACCCTGAATGAGACGCAAGGCAGGACACAAACACTCAGCCTTAATCTGAATCAACACAGGAAATAGTGGCGACTCAAGGTCACCTTTGAGAACACACTCTTTCTCCCAGGATGGCTCATGGAGAGGAGGAGGAGTGATGAAGATGACTTTGTCTGCGGATATGCCAGCTGATGTCAGAAATCTGCTGATCTCCTTCAGGTTCTCTGAATACTCCTGCAGAGGGACGTGCTGCTGTGGGTTCTCATCTGGAGGAGGCCAAAATGTCCATGAGTTGATGTAAACAGCATTAAAATCTAGATCTGTGTGCTGGAGAATAAAAGAAGCATCCAGTCAAGCATCTTGATTAATCGAGGCTGTACCTTCCAACGAACAGTCGTTGGCTCCAAAGAAGACCGTAACAGCAGCCACGACTCCTGGGTTCTGGCTCTGGATGAGACGAGGAAGTACAATCCTGGCCCATCTGGAGTTGTAGCCAGACAGTCCTCTGTTTACAACGTCACACTTTCTACCAGGGAGGTAAATTTTAAATTCCCACATCAGTCAAAGGCACAGATAAGTCATCATAGTCCTAATATTATTATTTTATTTATATCATGTGGAGCGTCAGATTTAAAGTTATATAAAAGCAGGATCTCTAAATGAAAACTGGAATAAATTCAAGACAAAAAATGGTTTAAATATGATACAAAAAGATGATAAATTTATTTGACAATATCTACCTGATAGAACTGACAATTACCATCACACACACCGAAATCTTAAAAAGAATAATTTAAAAAGTATGATACACGCTGGATTTAAATGACAATATTACTGTTGTATAATTTATCGTATTAAATATTTAAAAAATTATCAGACAAATTAAAGCTGCTGGTTAACTATGTAAAAAGGATGCAATTCTGAGCTCATGTAAAACAGCCCTAAATTATTAAATTATCTTTTTTTAGCTAAACTTTAAAAATGAAATTTCCAAATAAATAAATAAAAATATTTATGTTTATCAGCTGACCTGGCAAGTTTGTTGGCAATGTCTGCTCCCCACCCGTTGGGTTGAAAGGAAAACTGAAAGAAATGTACAGCCTAATGTTAACAGGCCTGCAGTTAATAAGTGAGAGTATATCGGCCAAGTGAAGTTTTAAAACCACATGTGAGAAAATAAATCAGAATGACCTGAGTGATGGAGTCGCCGAATAAAACAACTTTGGGCCAAATTATTGGACTACACTTGGCCATGATGCATCCTGTCAAGATTATTGGCGGAAGTGACCAAAAAATAAAACAAAACCATGATTTTCTAAAGCTTAAATTAATTAATTTAAAGTAAATTTAGTTTAAATTTGCACAATTCCTGTAAAATAACTAAATATATTTCGAAATATCCTTAAACCAATGTTAAACAACAGAAATTCCAGCAGCTTTCCAGTTCTTGCTTTTACTTTGAAGGAGAAGTCAACGTGCTACACTGAAACTCTTTCGTGTGAACTGCAGACTTTCGACATAGTTCCGTCTGGATGCGCCTGAAAACTGAAGGTTAGCTAACACTGTAACTAAATACTACAAACAGATGCGGATAATTTTAGAGACGCTCTTTAAAACTGTGTTAGAACAGACGTTTAAAAGCTGGAGGTGGCTTGTTTATTAATGAAACCTGTGGGTAATGTTTACGGCGCGTGACGCTGTAAACACGTGAAAACAAAAGCAACACCGCTGCCTGTGTGGATAGTTCATTTGCGCCCGTTGTGACGATGTTCGTTAGTATAAGCCACGCTAAACAAAAAGCCTTAAAACACTAAAGTATATTGGAAATTACAAACACGTATCTGTTAAATACGCTGTTATAAAGCAGCTTTGTGGTTTCTAACGAGCTTCTGATAAATAAAGATGTTAGCAGGGGCGAAATCAAAACTTAGTGGGCATCTACCAGTTTTGCCCCCTTTGAAGTCGTGACTACGCTTCTGTTACCACCCAGTATCATGAGTGTGAAAGAGACATATTTAAAGGTTAATTTCAGTATTTTTGATTCAGAGCGATGTTGCAGCGTCCGAAACCCACTGACTCCGAAGACGACCTCCTGAGAGAGCAGGAGCGCTTCCTGACCTCTGGTGCTCCATCTGCTGCAAGCGTGATCCGCCGTCCTGACAAGAGGAGAGGGGAACCTGGAGACGGAGGAGAACACAGCAGGGAGAATGAAGGAAATCAGAAGGACGTGGTCACCATAGAAGGTTGATCAGACACTATTATAAGGGTATTTCATGATTTTTAAATAAAACAAAACAATATTTATTTGTTTTCTTTCGTGTAGATCTTCCAGATGAACTCCCCTCTCTGACTCCAGCCGCTCCCAAGAAGTCCCGCTTCAAATCCAGTCGGGTCACTTTTGAGGATGCTGAAGAGAGGCTGGACCAACATGATACTCACATCAGTGCCGTTCTTTCCAGGATTGTTGTCAGTGTCTTTTATTAATTGGTTTTGTGCAATCAACAATCTATGTATTTGTCCTTTATTCCTTGTTTGGAAAGATATTATTATATTTTTCTTTAAGGAGAGAGATACCAGCTGTGCACCAATATCTCTGCCAGTATTTACAGACCGGGCGTTCCCCAAGGTGCTGCACCGCTTAGAAACCAGCAGTCAGGTGAATGCATTGGTGTCTAGTAGATGCAAAATATCTAAACACATATAATGGGCCTGAGTTACTTTATTTATTTTTATTGTAATTAACTGAAAGGAACGATATTGTATAAAGAAGTTAAATAAAATAGTAACAGAAGATTCTGCTGGTTTTATTTCCTACAGGTGCCACCTTTGTTGGTTAAAGGAAAGAAGAGCATCTTTGCTCGTCAGATTGCTGCTCAGAGATTAAAGGAGGAGAAGAAACCTTCACCTCCTTCCTCCGAAGCACCTCAGGATCCTGAGTCCAGACAGCAGAGTCTCCTTCATGATGCTCACAGTGACCCAGGTCTTAGTGATGATGCTGGTGATCGTACGCTACACTGAACCTTATGCTAGAACAAACTCACTTTCACTGCACGTCTCCTGATTCTTACGTCACCTGTGCACTCAGGTCCCAGGTTGGTGTTTGGTGATGGGCTTCAGGGTCCAGACAGCACAGGAGAAACCATGAGGATCCACAAGGAGAACCAGATCAAGCTCCAAACCATGTCTCAGGCTGAGATCATGGAGGAGCAAAAGAAACTCCTGTCTCAGCTCGGTAAGGAGGGATGTGGTTGGCATCAGAACCTTTATGGTTGCAGTGAGTTTTTAATCCAAAACTAATTCGTTATGTCTGCTTTCCAGATCCCAGACTGGTGGAGTTTATCAGATCTCACAAAGCTCAGAGTGTTCTGTCCTCTGATTCGCCATCCAAACACACCACAGAGAAAAGCAGCAAGAGAGATCCTCCTCGTGAAAATCTTACCACAGGTTCTTCCGGTGCTGCTGTTCCTTCCCAAGAGGTGGAGATGGAGGAGGAAGAGAAACCAGCTGTTACTGGTATGAGTTTGATCCGTCTTGATTATCGTTCCTGTTGTAGCTCTTTCCGGCTCATTGTGAGTACATGTTTTGGGGCAGCAGTAGCTCAGGTGGTAGAGCTGGTTGCCCCATGATCGGAGGGTCATGGGTTCGATTCCAGCTCTTGCCAGGGGCATTCTGCTGTTGTGTCCTGTGTTGGTGGTGGTCAGACGGGCCGATGGCGCCAAATGGCAGCCTCGCCTCTGTCAGACCGCCCCAGGGCGGCTGTGGCTACATGGTAGCTTACCATCACTGGCAGTGTGTGAATGTGAGAGTGTGTGAAAGCGTCTTTGAGTGTCCTGAAAAGCGCTATATAAGTTCAATGCATTATTATAATTATTATGTCTATGAAATCAGTGAAGAATCTTCCAGTAAAGCCGCAGAGGGAGTGGGTTCATATGGATAAACTAGAGCCAGAGAAGCTGGAGTGGATGAGAGACTTACCTTCACCGAGGAAGAAGGGAACCAAAAAGGTGAGGAGTTAAGCTGAGATGTGCAGCTTGGTTGGTTCCTGGATTTAAGCTCGTTTTACACATGAAAACTGTTTCCTTGACTTGTTTGAATGTTAATGAACATTTATGTGTCTTTAAAGGCCATGCAGGCTCGGTTCGACTTTGTAGGGACCTTAATTCCACCTTCTGAGGATCTGCCGACCCACTTGGGACTGCATCACCATGGAGAAGAGCCTGAGGTCTGTAGCACAAAGTCAACAATAAATCAATCCATCGTTTCTGATTTAAGTATATTAAAGTCAGTTTAAGAAGCCTTGAGAAAGTCACTTCTAAATGACTTTGTCTTATCTCTATAGTGGTGTCCCCCAGGGATCTGTCCTGGGGCCACTCCTATTCTCATTATACATGCCACCACTAGGAAGAATTTTAGCTAAGCATGAACTTCATTTTATGCTGACGATGTGCAGATTTATCTCCCAATTAGTCCCAACTCCAACTCTAACATATCATCTCTACCGAGCTGCCTCATTGACCTCCAACTATGGCTCTCCGACAGCTCACTGCTGTTAAATGAAGACAAAACTTAGTGTGTTGTTTTTACTCTCTTAAACCACCCAGGTGTCCTTGTGACCATCCTTGGTCAGTTGGCCGTTAAATGTAAGCAACATGTTAGAAACCTTGGTGTCATCTTTGATGAACACATTAATTTCGACAAACAGATCAATGCGGTAGTCAAGTCAAGTTTCTATCAATTTAGGGCTGTTTCCAGGCTGAAACCATTTTAAACCGCCCTGACCTGGAAAAAGTCAATCATGCCCTTATAAGCTCACGCATCGGTTACTGCAATGCTCTGTATGTCGGTTTATCCTCCATCGCTTGTCTTCAACTAGACCAAAATTCTGCAGCCTGTCTCCTCACTAACACACCTAGGCGGAGCCATATTACTCCCATTCTCTTAGAACTGCACCGGCTTCCTGTGTTTTTCAGAATAAAATTCAAAATCATAATGTTTACGAGTATCCATGGTCTCGGTCCTGCTTATCTCTCTGACTCTTTTTCCATACGTTGGCAAACACGGTCCACTAGGTCAGCGGGGACGCTTTTTCTTGGAAGTCCCTCGATCTAGATGCAAGCACCGGGGTGATCGCTCTTTTTCAGTCGCGGCTCCAGCAGTCTGGAACAAACTCCCCGATGACCTGCGTTTGACCTCTGAGTTGTCTTTGTTCAAGCTCAAGCTTAAAACCTACCTTTTCCAACAGGCTTTTTATCAGTAGCTATCCTCTCTTGGCTCTCTTAATCTCTTTTTTTAGCTTACTTATGCCACTCTATATGTTGTATTTACTTGTATGTTATTGTTTTCTGAGTTTTTACTTGCGCTGGTTTTATGTAATGTCTTTTATTGTTATGTCCTGCAAAGCACCTTGGTCACTTTCCATGGTTGTGGAAAGTGCTATAGAAATAAACGTGATTGATTGATTGATTGATTACTTAGAAAGTGTTTTTGTTGTTGCTGTTTGTGATGTTTCCACAGCGAGCAGGTTACTCCCTGCAGGAGCTCTTCCTGTTAGCTCGGAGTCAGTTTATCCAGCAGAGAAGTCTGGCTCTCAGCACTTTAGCCAACATCCTCTCAAAGGTACTCACACGCACGCACACACACACACACACACGCACACGGGTGCTTAAACGTCTGCCTGTGGTTCGCCCTCCTCAGGCTCGTGCTGGAGCGTACCTGTCGGTTCTGAACGGCAGCGTGGTGTCCACGCTGCTCGACGCCGGGCTGCTCTTCCTGCTCCGCTTTGGGCTGGATGACGGTGTGGAGGGTGTGATGTCTGCAGCTGTGCAGGCACTGAAAGCACTCCTCGTGTGTGCAGAAGATGAAGTAAGATGAATCTGTCATTTTATTGGAACACGTTGTCCTCACTCAGATTCCAGACACAGAAGTAGTCGTAGATTTTCTGTTTCAAAACATCCGTTATGTTCAGATGTAGAGAGAAGCTAACCTGTAGTTAGAAATGTTGGACAAGTCTCTGATAAAATGTGTGACCTCGGAGTTCTTCTGCTTGTCCTGGATCTGTCTCAGGAGTGTCTGGATTTCACCTTCTCCTGGTTTCGCGGCATGGCGTCCTTTCCTCTGCTGCCATTTGCTCAGGAGGAGGAGGAAGATGAAGAGGATGAAGGTCTGGATGAAAGCATGAAGGAGACGGCAAAGGAAAAGGAAGAGAGGAAGAGTGATTATGAAGTTTCCAGACAGGATGTAGTGAAGGTAAAATCATAATTTATTTTCATGTTTCAGTCTCTGTAGATGAAGACTGACGTGTGGGTTTGTGTTTCAGGGCCTGCTGAAGATGAAGCTCCTCCCCAGGCTGCGCTACATTCTCGAAGTCGTCCGACCGTCACCTCCAGTGGTTCAGGACGTGCTGCAGATCCTGACACGGATCGCCCGACACTCCTCGTCATCCGTCACGCAGGCATGCTAACGCAGATGAACAACGTAGCTTCCTTTACCGGATGTCTCCTTCATAGCTTCTGCATTCCTCTCAGGTGTTGGATTGTCCTCGACTGATGGAGACGGTGATGTCCGAGTTTCTTCCCGCTTCCTGGAAGTCATTGTCCCTCAATCCTCCGTCTGTTTATGGACTCCCACTCGCCAGCGCCATGAAGCTCTTAAGGGTCTTGGCTTCCTCCGGCAGACACACCTGTGCCAGACTGGTAACTGATGTCAACAAATCCTTCCAGATGCATCTTCACCGGGTTATTCTGTAGCATATGATTAGAGGGGACCTCTGTTCCTGGTTGTTAATAGATAGTTCATCATTAGCTGGTTTCTTTCTCTTTTCAGTTAAATTCTCTGGGAGCGAGGGAGCGTTTGTCGTGCCTCCTGAGTGCCGATCCCAGTGAGCTGCTGCTGGAGCCGAGCGAGGCTCTCTCCATCACCACCGAGGCCTACAGGCTGTGGGCCGTAGCAGCCGCCTACGGACAGGCCTGCAGGCTCTACATGTGGGTACAACGCGACCCTGTGCATGGTGGCATTATTCTTATAGATTATTTATCAGGGATGTCCCGATTCCGATGCTGATCCGGGTCACTTGGATAAGGTATCTAATGATGTTGCTGCTTTTAAAACTTCCGTACTTCACAAACTTCATGCTAAAAGACCAACACAGTCTCTCAAACTAATAGATGAATGTTTCTGTAGAGGATCACAGTGTAGGGAGACACTCCATCTGTTTGTGTCATTCTCTCCGCAGACTCAGGCCCTTACATCACCAGTTTATGTCTGTAAATGCTGTTTTTACCTGCTGTCCCTCGTCCTCTTCACAGAGACCTGTATCCAGCCTTAGTGAGGACACTGCAGTCCATCCACAGCCTCCTGTCCTCCTCAGGTCCTCTGCTGTCCCTGCAGATCCACCGTCTGCTGGCTCTGGTGTCTCTGCTCACACACGTTACACACACAGCTGGCTGCCATCAGGAGCTCCAGGCTGGAATGATCTGGTACTGATGGGATGATGGGGTCTGGGTTTTTATGTTTCTTTATGCTGTTTTCTGCTTTCATCACAGCGCTCAGGGCGAGGAGTGCCCGCCTCCGCCTCCCGTGTCCTGGGGTCACGTCACAGGTCTGCAGGCAACCTTGTTGGGACATCTGAAGGGTTTCATCAAGAGCCTTGATGATCCGGCTCAGAAGGATGGCAGCTTGGCTCTGATTCCTGTGTATCTGGTCTACCTACAAGCTTACTACCATCAGCTCTCCAGACAGGTTTGTTTTTTCTGTCAAATGTGAAAACAGTTCATGAGAAAATAATCTCAACTGGTACTTTTAGAAGACCCATTCGTGTACATGCTAATGATGATCCACAGAACTGCTTCAAGCCGGTGGAGACGCTACAAGAACTGGAGCTTCTCACTTCTGAGGTTCTTCTCCCTCTCACGAGTCACTGGGTCGTTCACGATCTAATTAAAAAGCTCAGGTACACCGATTCGTCATGCTAAAGCAAACTGATCATACATGTTTTTTTCCTGTGTTTGTAGCCTTCTGGTTTACTTCCTGTTTCCACTCTAGGCCCTCCTCAGTGGTGTGTAACATCCAGTCCAGTCCTCCAGGTCCAGACACTACTCCTAACCTTCCCGGGTTGGCCTGCCCAGGATGGAGGGATTGTCCTGGACTGGTTGTTCCCAGCTCCCCCTTCCCTCTGTTGACAGGACTGGGACTCCTGCTGGAAACAGTCACAGGGATCCATAAAGGTCTCAGCATCAAGGTAGATCCTTCAGAAGACGGGTTAAAGGAAATGTTCTTGCTTTTTTTTTTTTATCTGATTTTTCCTCCTGCTCTTTAGTTCAGTGGCCTGCTGGTGTCGGAGCCAGTGATTGGTTACCTGCAAAGCTGCAGTCAGGCCACGCTTACTCTGTCTCCCAGCAGGGCGTGGCTGCTCCGCCATGAGCACCACCTCCTGTACCTGCTGCTCAGACTGGCACAAAAACTGGTGAGTCATAGTTGAAACCTGCTGTTTGCTTTTGTTTTTTCTTTTTAATGTTTGTTTCCCCCTCTACTGGTTTCCCAGGTTACTGTTGAGTCAACTGTAGCGAACCATTCCTCACTTTACCACCAGGTGGCACTGGTGCTGCTTCCCTGGTTACTTCCAGGCAGTGAACACCTGGCACACGAACTGCTCTCCAGCATCATCTTCAACAAGCAGTTTTTAACGTAACCGTCCTTTTTCATCTTAGCTGATTGTCCACAGATGCCGCCGTTTATTTGACTCTTCGTGCCTTCTCGTTTGGTTTGCAGCGAGGGACACAGCGGAGGACCTGAGGCCGTGGAGCTGGAGGAGCTGCGGCTGCACGAGCACACACACCGAAACTCCGCCCCCTCCCTCCAGACTGTCGGTGCTCTCCTGAGAGAAGCCTGCACCCAGCTGCCCTCCATACGGGGCTGCTTCCTCACGCACCTCGCCCACCTGGAGCCGTCTGTGCTCGCATCACGAGACGCTTTTCTGGGCCGCAACCCGTGGATCAACTCCCATCTCCTTCCAGAGCTCAGCGGCCCCACGGTGCCCTCCGACTGGTGTTTCCTCCCGCTCATCAGCCTGTATGAGCAGACGGGGGTTTCTGCCGGCGGAGGCCTGGCGGTGGAGGAGCTTCCTCATGGGGCTCTGCAGGCAGTGACCCACTGTCTGCAGTGGCTGCTGATGCTGGAGATCTGGAGGGGGGAGGCTCTGAAGGTGCAAAACCACAAGTCAAGGCAACAATTTTGTAAAGAATCAGAAGGAAAAAACATTTTTCTGATCAGTTTTGAGTTCTTCACTCCTGCAAGATGCTGAAAAACATCTTTAACGCAAACAAACAAATAAGAAAACATCCAAATTCCTTTTAAATATGTTTAGCAGAATAATTCACAGTAGGAACAATAGTTGATGCTTGCATCTTCATGTTTTAGTGAAAACCGCATGTGTTTCCTAGATGATCCTCCCCGTTGCTAAGCTGGCCCGCCTGTCCTGCGTCTTCCTGTGTTCAAGTGACTTGTTCCTGGAGAGGCCAGTTCAGAAACTGACCTGGGGTCTGTTCAGGCTGCTTACCAGGTCTGGTGAAGATAAAGCTCTGTTCTCGTCCAAAAAGATCCTCTGCTTCCTTTAAAATAATCTATTGTTTTGTTTTGGTGTAGGAAGTCCAAGCTGGACTCGTTGGACCTGGATGTGCCCCCCCCGGGACTCGCCTCCTTCCACGACTTGTACACAGCTCTTTTGACTCAGTATGAAGCCGTATCGTTTGGAGACCGCCTGTTTGGCTGCTGGGTGCTGTTGCCCCTGCAGAGGAGATACAGCGCCACCATGAGGCTGGCTGTGTTTGGGGAACATGTTGGGATGCTGAGGTCGCTGGGGGTCACCCTGGATCAGGTTAGTCCCTGAAAATGAATTCAAACATCTTTTTTTTTTAACTATAACTTGAGTCTCACTCATGTGTGTCTCTACATCTGAAGCTGTCCATTCCCATCGAGGCGTTCACCTCCCCCCCGGAAGACTCCCTCCCTCTCCTCCGTCTCTACTTCCGCTCTTTAGTGACGGGGACGCTGCGGTCCTCCTGGTGTCCTGTCTTATACGCCGTGGCCTTGTCTCACGTTAACTCCTTCGTCTTCTCCCAGGATGCTGCGGCACAGGTACGCCGCTGATTCACACACACACACACACACACACACACACACACACACACACACACACACACACACACACACACGTCTCTCTGGGAGTCGTTTCTCTGGCTGAAGCTGAGGATGCGAGACAAACTTTGCCGTGCAGCGATGTTACAGATGCAGCTGGGCTTGTGGTTGGAGCTCAGGCATTTACAAAGTTCTATCAACATTTTATTTATCAAATAAAAGCTCACTGAACACAAGATGCAAGAATTTATGAGCCAAACCAAGTTTTTCATGTTGTTGATAATGACAGTGAAGCAGAAACAACACTTTTTATAGCAGTGCACCATTAAAACTGGGCCAACAGCATCAGAAGTGCTCGGATTGTAAGAAGTTTATTGATTCGTCATCTGATTGCTGCTGAAAAACATTCTTATGGTGTGAATTATCAGTAAATAAACTTTTTTTTATCATAGGCTATATTATAAGGTAATTATGACTCATGTTGTCCTTAAAAAGTGGAGCAATGGTGCCACGTTCTGACATAAATTGCAGCTTTGGTTAAAAATGATCAAATATGATGGTTATAAGTTTAGACGCTGTAATTCTGCTGCAGCAATAGTTGAACCAACTACAGAGTGAGAAAACATCCTTCAGTAATATTAATATCATCCTCACTAAGATGAAGCTGAACTCCAGAGTCTTGACAGCTGGCGGCACGTCGCCCCGTCTCGACTTTTTCCAGGGGTGATGATGGCTCCTGTCTCCCAGCACCTGCTCTCGGTCTGAGGGGGGAGTCCCAGACCAGATCTCACCTCCTCAATCTGTACACATCAGTGACACGTGTCTGAGACTTTGAACGTTTTGTTCTTTTTCAGGAAGTGGAAGCAGCTCGACAGAGCATGTTGAGGAAGATCTACTACCTTACAGATGAGGTACTTCTTCCTCAGCCTCTCTTTTCTCTCCTGCTCCTCACACTTCAAGCTGCTGTTGTTTGTTTTCTTTGTTGGTCTACTAGCTCCGTTTGAGTTTGATTCTCATTGTTTGCTAGCGCCTCTCAGACCCTTTGGCAGGTAGATGCACCTCAGTGTTTCCTAAGCTTAGCTCAGTCCAGCAACTGAAACAAGATCAGATCCAAACAACATTTTCAGGAGGTTCTGCTGTCCTTTAAGCTTGATTCATGCTTCTCCGTCAGCTCCGCAAGGGACAGACACGCACGGATTGACGGAAGCGTTTTGCCCTCATACTTCTCGTCTCCTGGGGAGTGTTGCAAAGCAATTCCCCGCCAGGACAACAGAGGGCGTAGCGCTGTTCTGTGGTATCCTGTCATGTCTCCAGTCCAAGCTAGTGTGTTTATATTGTGTTTTTTGTATATAAGGGACTTTTTAACACAGACAAATTTGTCTCTTATTCTCCTCCACCTCTTCATGCGCTCGCCACCTCTAAACCCACGTTTCCTGTCATTTCCGTCCACAAATAAAACGCTTGCTGCGCATCTTTTCACTCCTCCAGTCACGGGGAATTAAACGTTCATATTTTAGAGTTTTTTCGCGAGGAATTCTTCAAGCTTCTCCGTGTCTCCCGCTAGTTATCCTCGGCTCTCTGTATGTTTTTGAGGGCGCAATGGCAGCGGTGTAAACAACAGCGGCGTCCTGACCAATAATAATAATATTAATAATGCATTGAACTTATATAGTGCTTTTCTAGACACCCAAAGACGCTTTCACACACACTCACATTCACACACTGCTAGTGATGGTAAGCTGCTTGTAGCCACAGCCGCCCTGGGGAGGTCTGACAGAGGCGAGGCTGCCATTTGGCGCTGTCGGCCCCTCTGACCACCACTAACACAGGCAAGTTGGGTGAAGTGTCTTGCCCAAGGACACAACAGCAGGATACCCCTGGCTGGAGCTGGAATCGAACCCATGACCCTCCGATCATGAGGCAACCCGCTCTACCACCTGAGCTACTGCTGCCCCTCACAAGCTTGCATTCTCCGTCTCGACGGACGGATGTTTAAAAAAGTGGGCTAGACTCTGTAGGTACTTGCGTGCCTGCCGGGGCCCTACGCAAGGACGGATAATGGCGTTGCGTGTCTCCGCACTGACGCAGACGGAGAAGCATGACTCAGGCTTGATCACTTACACTTTTTTTAATTATCTAAATGGTTTGAAGTCTCTGCGACCGGAGCTAGACACATGTTGGTCCGTGCTCATTTACTACATCCATTAAAAATGGGATTTGAATCGATTAGCTGCCGTCTGATTGTCATTTTTACATTATTCTGGTGACAAATTATATTTATGGGACATTTTTTAAATGTGTGCCTTTCATTTAATTATAAATAAGATGTTAGTTATTAGTTTACTATTTGTTCTTCTGATGGCTGATTTTCTTTGATTGTTTTACTAAATATTTAAATAATTGGATCATTTTTCAAACACTTTTTGTCTCATTAACATTTCCTGATTTTTGCCATCCAAACTCAAGAGTTTTAACAATCAGTATTTAGTATTTCTGTTTTCTAACTTAATGCTCTCCACAGCCGCTCCACGTTTGGTCTTTAACGGTTCTGGAGTCACCTGCAGGGTCGAGCTGGTTCACACCGAGGCTTCTTCTCACTCCTCATATCTCATTTCCAGGTGTTGAGGAACCACTTGCTCCTTTTCCGCCTGCCCCAACAGCACCTCCAGCTCGGCTTTGACACCTACGAGCAGCTGCCTCCCATTAGGGCGAAGCATCTGGAGATCGTTCTCCGTCTGCAGGGTGACAAAGGAGACAGAGAGGAGCGAAGATCGGAAACGTAGCACTGAAGGTTAGAGGGGATGAGCATCGTGTGAATGAACAGACGGGGGAGAAAAGTCAAAAGGTGATGGAAGACTCACCAAAACGGTTACAGAAACATTTCTGAGCCCCACATCAGAGCCAGGCTCGTCCAGCTATGCAGGACAGTTGACCTGACTGCTTGTTCTGCCACAATCAGCGGTTTGTATCAAGTACAGATGGGACGTGGCGCAGGTCCCATCTGTACTTGTGTCTTTTTGTGACTCCGGTGTTTTTCCAAAGCAGCCCAGGGCAGTTCTAATCATCTGGAGAAAAAGGCAAAAAAAAAAAAAACTGCATCAAAAGTGCCTGAAAGGATTATTTTTAGAATTGTGAATAAAAATAAAGCCACATGATGATATTCCTGCTGTAGCATTTTATTTTTAGAGTTCATCTCAGCCACACTCATTCATTTAAACCACATTTGATGGCCACAGTAAATCAACACAAAAGGAAAGACTTGGTTCCATCTGGTCACCAACCACACTCACCAGTCGTTTACTGGCCTGTTACTCTTCCACTAAAACTGTAATTGTGCATGAGGCACCAGTTTATTGTCTTTACATGTGAAATAAGCCTGATCCTGTCGGGTCCCACTACATTAGTGTTTCATTTTGTGCTGCTTACCTTGAAATTCATCTTTTAAACCGTTTACTATTCAAAAATAGCATTAAGAATGCCCCTTTGAAACTTTTTTTACACCACCACACCACATCTGTCAGACCAACGCTGGAACCAGACAACGTGTTGTTCATCATGATGGGAAAGAGGTGGAGATGAGTTTGTATGGACTATTATTTTTGCTTCTTTTGTTGCTATATTGATTAAAATATGAGTTATTGGAGTTACTGGGATGACCGCCGTGTAACAACCTGGCGTTGATGGGGTTGGGTCATGTTTACGTCATCGTGTTCTCCGTAAATCGGGTTTATGGTAACTAACCTGCACTTGCATCGCACCGTTTTACGTCCGAGGACTCCAAAGTGCTTTACACTCCAGTCAGTCATCTGTTGGTTCACACACTGATGGTGATGAGCTACATTGTAGCCACAGCTGCCCTGGGACACTGTTACACATGTTGACAACTATTTACATTAATAACCAATTAGAAATAGGTATTAATGTGTCACATTCAGTGAGGTAATAAAGAGTGAAAATAATGTTAATAATAATCAAGCAGAGTGGAAAAATGATTATTTCTACTGTAATTTTCATCCTTGCTAAGTGGTTTAGTTCAGATCAGACCAGACAGGAAGTCAGAAATAATGGAACGTGTCTGGCAACTTTCAAAATAAAGGACACAGATTTCCTTTTGCTCAAATTGTAAAAAAAAAAAAAAAAAAAAAAAAAAAAAAAAAAGTACATTTGGTGACCTGTGACACTGCTGCCTCTGTCCGTGAGCCCCAGGGCAGCTGTGGCTACAATGTAGCTCATCACCATCATTGTGTGAATGTGTGTGAGTGATTGTAAAGCACTTTGGAGTTCTCTGGCTCACAACAGCGCTATACAAGCATTCGGTGGAGAAGAAGAAGTAATAAGTAGCCATCAAAACTCAAGAAGGAAAAAAGTATTTTATTAAAAAGCTAAGTAATGACTAACTGGTCAGCTGATTTTATGTGTTTAAATTATTTAATCAGGTTGATAAAGATCTAAATTCATCTGCATATTCCTGTTCAAATAATAAAATAGAAAACAAGTAAAAATAAATAAGGCAAAACCTGCTTGAACTTTCTCAGATTCTCACAAAATAATGAGGCGGTTCAGTGTAAACCAAATCCAACTACCGTATTGGTGTCTCACTAGTTCACCACGCATGTTCTCTTAAACGTATCCAGGTCTGGTGCCGAGCCCGCTGCAGCTGGAGTTTATCACCAGATCTTTGTTTGTTCTACCCAGAAAGCAAACAAGCACATTTAACCTAATTATTCCTTCTGTAGCGAATCTGTAGTTTATCTCGTCTACATTTTCTTAACGCTTTGATCAAAATGTCAAAAGTCCTAATTTCCTTTAAATTAACAACTTTCTAAATCAATTACCGTATTTTCCGGACTATAAGCCGCTACTTTTTTCCCACGCTTTGAACCATGCGGCTTATAATGAGGTGCGGCTTTACTGAAGATTTTCCTTCACCTGCCAGGGGGCGCTTTAGCAGAAAGTGAAACAGGTGGAAGTCAAAAGTGGAAATCGAAGAAAGTGCTCATTTTAATTTAGCACATGCAAGCAGCCGGCACGACGAAGAATTTTTTTCAAATCCATACCCCCTCATCATGGAAACTACACGTATGAGTTCATATGATGCCGCATTTAAGTTGAAGGCCATCGATCTGGCAGTAAAGGAGGGAAACAGTGCTGCCGCACGTAAGCTTGGCATGAATGAATCCATGGTTCGGTGCTGGAGACGGCAGCAGGAAGAACTCATTCAAGCCAGCTTCACCCGGGGATGATGACAGCAACAAGGACAGCGACACTGACATCGCCACAGAAAAGGTACGTGACGAAGCTCTTCTGAGGCTGTTCAACTCCGACACTGAAGAAGAGGACTTTAATGGCTTTAGTGCACAAGAGGAAGATGAGAGCGAATGACTTTTTCTGGTAGGCAAGTGTGTTTTATTTATTAACCAGGCATGTTTTGTGTGTTTTTATTTTCTAATCATCCAGGGCTTATTAATGCTGTGTCAGCGCTGGTCTTTTCTTCTAAACATGCATGCAAATGACCGGTAATAACGAGTCAGTTCTGTTTTTATTTTATAACCATCCAGAAATATGAATGCTATCAGTGCTGTTTTCTTTTCTAAACTTGCAGGCACGTTCACCCGTGTTTAAAGTTCATTTTTTTGAATTAAAACAACAACGAAAAACCTCCGTGTAGCGTCTTTCTGTCTAATTATCTTATGTTATGGCCATACATGCGCCGTGCGCCAGAGACCTGCATGTGGCTGCTGCGCCGCGGCTTGTATTTGAGTGCAGCGTGTGTGTGTAGAAAACCTTTTTCTTTGTTGGTGCAGCTTATATTGAGGTGCGCTCTATAGTCCGGAAATTACGGTAACAGAACTTGATTAGGATTTATACTCAAACCTAACAGCTCTCATTCCTTTGTAGGACGTCACGAATTAAAGATAAACAGAACTAACACCTTATTAAACAAATCCTTCAGTGATTAAACTTTTAAATAATAAGGCTGAGTAATTGCTAGAAAATTGGCTGCATGCCTTTTTTGTGCCTCGAGAAAAGTGTTTACTTCAAGGTTTCAATTTCCTCTGTGATCATTTCTGAAATTAAAACCATTATTTAAGACTTCCCTCTGGCTAGCAAAGGAAACATAGGGGCATTTATCATTTAAATGTTTTCTTCTTAGCTTTGATTCTCCAGTCTAAAAACACCGATCAGACCAGATGTCGTCTAAACTCAAGCCAGGACGGATTTGGCCGAGAAATGTATTTTCCCTCTTAATTATGTGAAGTTTTAACTCAAAACACCAAAAAATGACTTTATGGGGTGTGAAGTTGCATTTTTAAGAGCAAAACTGTGTTTGTGGAAGATAACTAGTGATTGTGGTGATGCCAGCCCAGCGTCCCCCGCTGAGCTCTAACAGCTAATGATTCGGCTCAATAAATGCCTCAAACAGCCACGAATAGACACAGAAAATGTTTTTGTTATTGGCAGGAGCCTCCGAGGGTATGGTACTGATCGATCAAGATTAGGGTTAAGAAACTTTGGCAGAAAAACACAAAGTCCTCTCCTGACTTTTCTCCACTGATTAAGGTCATGTTGTCCTGTGAAGGTGAAGCTCTTAGTTTGTGTTCCTACAATAGATTTATTTAACCAAATTATGACCTAAAATTTTAAAAGGAAACCATAATCTGAGAGACGTACAGTTGAATCTGACATACTTAGTATTTATCTCCACAAAAATAAAGGATTATGTCTAAATTAGAGCATTCTTGGATAAAGTGGTCAGATTATGAATGTTGATCTTTTTTAAGCACTCAGTATCCACAACTTGCAGTAGCGCCCCTAGAACATTTTAATGAGGGGGCCACTGCAGATTTTGGGGTGGCAGCTGTGGTAACTCTGGGAGCGTTTAGCCTGTTATGCATTGTGTTGCTCCTTCATTCTTTTTAAGAATCAATAGGGAGACCAGTTTAATCCCCAGACCCCGCACGTTTTGTGCCGAAGCACCCTTGGGCAAGATGCTCAACCCTAGTTGCCACTCAGACATGATACAGATTCCAGCCCAATGCTCCTTGGTGATGAGTCAAATGCAAAGAAAAGTATTTCCAAAAGGATTAAAAAAATCTATTATTATTATTATTTTGCTAATTTTGAGAAAACAAACATGTCAGAGAAAAAAATCAAAACATTTATTGAAGTTACTGCTTTGAATTTTAAAGTTTTAGAATATTAAAACAGTTTCATTTACCTGCTGCTGTCTCAATAAAATATCCACGAAAACTATAAGAATTTATACCTTTTCGACATATATATTTAAATTATGAGTTAATAAATAAAATATTGATAAAAATGTTATTAGTGTGATGTTCACAGATGTTTTATTTTGAAAGTTTGAGAGTAGGAAGTGGAGGAAAAAATAACACGGAAGGGAGTGCGAGTGAAAGAGGAAAAAAGGAGTTTTTTTTTTGTTTCATGGCTAAACGGCTGCTAATTAAAGAACAGACTTAAGAAGCTCACAAGGTGTCTTCATTTACCGAGACTATGGTACGGGAAAAAAACATTACATTGGCGACGAAGATGGGATGGGCATTCGGTTGTCAGGAAAATCAAGCATGGACTTGAAAATGTTCCACCTGGAGATGATGTCAACCCTTCCTTAAAGGACAAGACCAGATATCCAGTCAGATCTAACCGACGCATACCCATGCATCTTTCTGACTACATCGGATCAAAGACTTGAATGTTCAAATGACCTTTGAAAGGTTAAGAGATGTAAATAGGTCTGGTGTTCCTGAATGTAAAACAGTAATCTGTAATGTGATTGCAAGTGAAGATAGTTTTCAGTCAGAGATCTGTGAAAATGTAGCATTGCGTGGAAATAACAGAGTATGAAGGAATAAGTGTTAAGGATGTTCAGCAAAATATGGTATGACTAGTTTGTGTTAGATGTGCAGTATTTAACTCACCTCAATGTATACTTTGTAAAAAAAATAAAATAAAAAAGAAAATTGGTGATAGTGTTGTTCACATATATTTAATTTTGAAAGTTTGAGAATAGGAAGTGGAGGAAAAAACAGAAGGGAGTGCGAGAGAAAGAGGAAAAGAGGTTTCTTGTTTCATGGCTAAACGACTGCTAATTAAAGAACAGACTTAAGAAGCTCACAAGGTGTCGTCATTTACCAAGATTAA